CTGTTTATGATATTACATGCCATATTTCGAATATGAAGGCATTTGAAGAGCCATGCTTTTCAGGGAAAATTGTTAATCTGACGTTCTTCCAAACTTGCATAATAACAATGATAACGCTCAAAAATTATTTTCACCTCTCAGAACTCAACCGTCTCTTTAAATATGCCTACTGTAACCATATTATGACAATTTTCTGTTTTGAAACAGAAGGCGCAGTCTGCTGAGCGCCAGAAGGTCGTGACCTCTGAATACACACGTCAAATGATAGGATTTAATGTCCTTCTGGTCCTCAACAGATAAAACAACAACAACAAACAAACGAATGGTTGAAAAAATTTGAATGATGTGCTTCCCTCTGTACTAGCTGTTTCAACAAGTGAATAGAACGGAAAACATTAAAAATTAGAGTTTAGAGACTTCGGTGGTAACTGCTTTATATGCACCGTTTTTAATATTATTATTATGACAGGTTGATTATCACTGCAATGATGAATTGCACTTTGATTTCAAGTTAAACCCACAAATACATGTACAGGTGTAGATAATCATCATATCCATCTTGTGTGACAAAACTGAAGTCTATCAAGAACAATGTCTTTTTGAGGTCAGTGAACTTTGAGGCCATGCAGGTCATTAACATTGAAGGTTAGGTGATTGGGTTGTGGAGCTGTCACAACCGATTCCATTCATCTCGCTCTTTTGAATTATTTCCATTTTTTATTTTTACGGACTGAATTCCATTAATATCATCTTTCATATTTACTGGAGGAGAACGTTGAATGAATATTAATTTTTTAACAACCTCCCATAAAAAGTTTTGAGGTTTATTGACCCAGTGCAATTATATTGATTCTGTTTGATTTCAATGGAAGTGTTATTATGGCTCCAGTGTTATTGTAAACACTTGTGGGATTTTGATACAGACATTCTTAACTCAGGGTCCATTACAATGCAAGAAATCCTTTAGAAAAAAAGAGAGGCTAAACAAAAAATTATCCATCCCTTTAAAAGGAGTTATCATGAAAGGTCCTTTGATTTGGAGCTGAAATAGCAATTTAATGACCGCTCACTCAAAAGACAATTTCTCGGAGAGCACTGATGGCATGGAGCAAGCCTTTTGCAAACCGAGATCATCATCATCGGGACAATTGAATCTATGGAGAGACGATCTCTCTCTCTCTTTCCCTTTCTTTCCATACCATGGGTCATCATGCTGAGAAGTGCAGTGCGGAATTGCTTTTGTGTTTTAGGAGTATACGGATGACTGAAAGAAAGAAAGGAAAACCTCGGCCGTCTGCTGTAAAATGGACATCTTCTATTGATATTGAAAACAGAGTAATAGGGAGGGAGACTGTTTGTAGTGAGTCCGTCCGTTCAGTCTCTCGCAAACTCCGCTCATTGTGTCATCGCAGGCTAGAGGTCTGTTGGGTCATTCAAAAGCAAATTGTATTGGACTGGAAGCTACCTATCAGGATTGGAGTTTTGTTGGTGTAGTCCTTTGCTTTGTCAGATTTGTTCACCTAAAAGTAAAACCATCAATGTCTAGCTGTCTTTGAAATTGTGCGGCCCTCTTATTACTGGACACTTATTTTTCCTGAACTTCTAAAGTGTGGGACACCACTCTGCCGACCCTTCCACCATCCACTCCACTTCTCCTCCACTCGAGTTTTCCACGAAGCACAATAGGAGCATTTGTCCTCTTGGGCAATAACATTGCACCCTCAAAGAGATAGATGGATAGAGAGGGGGATGACTATAGAGCCGTAGTAAAATCTCCAAACCCTATTCACAAGATTGAATCAACTCTAAACCTATTCTCCTTGCATGATTAGGCTGGGGACATACAACGGGAGGGCGCAACGTAAAGAACCCTTGTGAACTCGGTTGGTGGGATTCCTCCAGCGCTCCATTCAGTCATCAGTGACCCTTGTGAAAGCTCCTGGAGTAGGGGTACCCCTCTTCAATCCCCCTCTTCAATCCTATTATTCACGGATTCATTAGTATTTATCAGTCTCGATTTCTATTGAGCTTTACGAGAGACCGCTTTTAGACATCGCATGTGGAAACTCGTAGCAGGCAGATGATGATGATGATGAATACCTGTCTCGTTTAACAGCTCCAGGATATGTTCCTTTTCAACATTCACAGCTCGTTGAGCGGTGTTTAATCAGGGCATTTGCTCCAAGCTAGTATCATAGGTGCACAGCTCTGGCGTAACATGTAACAAAGTGGACTTGAAACTCGTCTTTCAGTGTAGCCAATTTAGTCGGACAGCTGGGGTATCATTCCACGTGACAGGACGTCAACAGTTGTGATTTTAGATTTGATTCCTTCAATGTACTTCTCCGTTCACGATCCGATGCCATTGGTGAAGGCACTAATGGTGCATCAGTGAGTTGAGATTTGTATCGTTTGACCAATGTCTTGGAAAGTTTCCTCATGGATGCCGAAATGGAGTATCCCTTTACCGTCATAATAAGGATATTTGCAGGTATTCATGAATATTTGAGAACTTATAGGTAAAGTTAGCATATGCTGGTATCTACATGTATCTTATACTCCCTTTGTGAGATGTGCTCATACAAGGAATACTTATATTTTATATTTCTTGTGGGAAAAGATTTCTATTGCTTCTCAACATGTTGTACACACAGAGATCAGACATTTGCAGCATGCAGGCTTGCCATTTTTCTACAGTTACTGCAACTAAAAGTGGATTGTTGAACGTCAGGAATTACCATAAACCTTTTCTTCGGATACCCGTACTACAAGGATCATCAGTGGATTAGCAAATAGAAATAAGACTGATCATATGAGAGACATTGCAATATTATCATCAGTGTGAAACAATTGTGTATTTATTTTGTATGGGGAATTCTGCGATCAAATCCCCACGCTGTTTCTGCCTGCCCCCGATCCTCTTCGCCCGTTCCACCCGCTGCCACCCCCGGAGCGACAATATCTCCACGGCTCGCTCGGCCATTCAGATGCACCTCATAGCAGAGGCGTATATGTTCTATGCTTGCCATCGTTACACAGGTATAAGGCCACGTATGAAATTATTGTCATCGTCCTGTAGTGTATTATTACCGGTATTATGCATTTCTGATTCAAATTCATTCAATTATCAGAAGAAAAACTAAATTCTTAGCAGTTGGAAGTTTTAAACTTCGATCTTGTGGTGTTGTTTATATCACAAGTTGACATTTTATTATATGCCGTTCAGATTCATATTTATTTAAGTATTAGAAGAAGTAGAAAATGTTAGCAGTTTCAAGTTTTATATATCAATCTTGTGGTGTTGTTATCACAAACTGACATCTGTTCATATTGATAAATTTACTTGAAAAGTGAAAAGAATAAAAACAAAATCAGAAGAAAACAAACGCTGATTTGTTAATCTATCCATGGTTTGATGGTTTGTAAAAAAAAATAAAAAAATTCCAAACTGACATCTTTGTCAACATCATACAAGAAAAAGTTATCAAGTATTGAAGAAGGCTTGAATTAGTTTTGGATCTACAATTAAGCATTTACATTCCACAATGTTCAAGCTACTTTCCTATCAGCACAGATATTGTTCAGAATAATAGCACAATCTATCTTTAAAAACAGCTAGGGGATTTGCAATCGTTTGGACACAAATCCCTGATGAAATGTGATAGACTGCACCTAATGGAGTGAAGATTTAGTAATGTTTAGTCTTCTTATTATCCCATATCAACCCCCTATTTTAATAGTCCTTCATCAAGACTTGTATTGTGATGGCGGAAGAATGCTTTTAAAATCTTTTGAAAGCTTTCCATTTTTGCCGGGAATCCGATCCCTGATTGGGGTCCCACAATGATGTGAAGACTTTTAGATGGATGTTTTGAATGTTTTTTAGTAATCTTAATCCAATGCTTTCAATTAGACTATTGTAAGGTTGAAGTACCTCTGATTTACTGCTCAGAAGCGCGATAAAAATGTTACTGCAGTTCATAAAGTGTTAATGTGCTTCTCTTAGAGAAAGTGAATGAATGTTTCCTTCAAGAGAATTGTATGTTATCAAAAGGTACAATGAAAGAGTGTTTGATTTATATACAATCAAAGCAGATTATTCAATCTGACATATACGGAAAAGTTATGAAAAAAGACACAAAAGATGAAAAATCATATACATGTATGCCTCCAGAGTTACCTTAAAAAAAATCTGAATTAATTTCATGTTATGTTTTTGACATCCTTGTAAAATTTTGCATTATTTCTCAAATCTTGGCTGTTCTTGTGCAGTCCTCTGTTGTATTTGAAAGGCGCATGTACAAATGTGTTTCAGATTTGGAAGGAATTGCATGCACTCAAGACAGTAGTTAAGCATTTGTTTTGTTGCTCAATATGACTTTCTAGCATGAAATATCTGTGAAGAAATCTCTTTTGCTCTCACTTTTCATTCATGCTTAACACGTACATAAATATTTCTCACACTTTATGTATAATGAAATGCACTTGATGAGGCATATTAAGGCCTATTCCACACCAAAGCGCCTATTGAGAAATGAATGAAACGAACATGAAAAATAGGACGGTGCTTTGGATAACAGGGCAGTGTTTCACGAAACTGTCATCAGTACAAATTCAATGACAACCCCTTGAAATGTGTGTATAAAAATGAACATGCCTTGCAATTGGTTGTCAGCAAACTGTTCATCATTGATTGCATGAAACCAGATTTTTTTTTAGATGACTTCCAAACCACAGAGCTTCTTATTCTTCCTTCTTTCTTTACAAGTTGCAATTATGTTTGTTTATAGAAGAGTATAATCTGTTCTGTGAATAATGAACTAACAAATGTATTTGTTTCTGAAACCAGATATTTTGTTAAGATGACTTCTACAAACCACTGAGCTTCTTTGTCTTCCTTTTTTCTTTACAAGTTGCAATTATCTATAGAAGAGTATTAACTATTCTGTGAATAACGAACTAACAAATATATTTGTTTCTTTTTGTTGCTTTTCTTGCAGTTTCAAGAAGCAAGAGGGACCATCACCATCGAAGCGGGCATGGATACGAGAGTTCGTCAACGTTGATGAGCAGCGACATTGACTCCACAAGCTGCTTTGAATCAACAGATGACGACAGCAGGTAAGTTGTATTAAAATCTTTAAAGAATTCTGAATTAGTTGATCTGTTAGGGCTATCAACAGATCGTCTGCTGAGCCAGAAGGGTGCTAACTCATAATAATAATTATTATTATTATAGGCATTTCTATAGCGCCATCTGTCTAGAATTTCTATTCCGAGGTGCACTTTTTAATTATTACCCCGGCTTTAGCCTAGCTGCCATTACAGCGCTCCAGCATTTCAAGGAATTAATTCTTGCCAGGTACCTAGTTACCTCACCTGGGTTGAGTGTGGCAAATGAAGATTAATGCCTACAACTGTAGCAGTCCGTTTGCTTTTAGAATATATTGTGAAATGAATCTGCCGAACTGTATGCAATCCGAAGAAGAAAAAAATACAGAAGCATACTTTATGAATCATAGTAAAAGTAGCAAGATCAAATTACATTTCATTTAAATGCATCCCATCTGAAATTCTGTAGATTTGTATGTATATATTTAGTGAAAATGAATATTTGACAGAGGCCCCCGTTTAAAACCAGTCTCTTCTGTCAAAGCTCTGACAGTATACATCTGTGTATACACCTTATCCTAAATTGAAGTGCTCTCAACAAAGACTTGGATTTCATCATTTTTAATCAAATTTCTCCCCTTCTGAAGGCAAACTCATCACCTGTGTCAGTATTGACATTTATGGAGAAAGAAATTATTCATAATCTGTGTGCAATATAAACTGATAGCTGCGTGCCAAGAGGCCAAATATTGACAGACCGTATGAAGGCTTTATGAGGTTTTCCATACTTCCAAGTTTGGACAAAGTCCATGTATGGAAATGACAGGTTGTTCAGACTGGAGGTAATTTATAGGAAAATCATATACAGAAACGTATAAAGAATCATTGTATTGTTCGCACTCCATAACAACATCATACAAAGAAACGTCAAGAAACGTCACTTAAAGAAACTAGCTTTGATGAGGTCAGTTGACATGACAGGTTGTCAATCATCGATGTGCGCTCATGATAAGCCTCCCCCTCTCCCTCTCTCCCCCTCTCCCCTCTCCCCCTTTCCCCCTTTCCCCCTCTCCCCCTCTCCCCCTCTCCCCCTCTCCCCCTCTCCCCCTCTCCCCTCTCCCCTCTCCCCTCTCCCCCTCTCCCCCTCTCCCCCTCTCCCCCTCTCCCCCTCTCCCCCTCTCCCCCTCTCCCCTCTCCAGGGAAAAAAAATACTTTTAACATTTTGGGGGCTACTTTTCAAGCTTGCTAGCATGAAAATAACAATCTTTAATTTGTTTTGCATTGAACTCTATGCACATTTTTGAGGGCTCTTTTATGACTTTCGGGGGCTCTTTTTGGCATTTCGGGGGCTAATTCGCCCCAAGCCCCCGTGTATTTTTTTCACTGCCCCTCTCCCCTCTCCCCCTCGCCCCCTCTCCCCCTCTCCCCTCTCCCCTCTCCCCTCTCCCCTCTCCCCTCTCCCCTCTCCCCTCTCCCCTCTCCCCTCTCCCCTCTCCCCTCTCCCCTCTCCCCTCAGTTATACAATTTTTGCACCATATGACGTTCAGACAAGAAATGGACCCTGATTTTTTTATCATGTTTTCATTTGAAATGATACTCAAACATGTGTTTTGCTATACAACGTTTTGTTATATGATGTTCAGACTAGTATAAATAACATAATTTTCATATAGCTATACGATAAGTTTTTGGTAGTCTGAAGGGGGCTCAGTCAAGCTCGATATTTGTCTGGGAAGTGTGAAGATTTTCTCGGAGATCCTAATCTTGTGTGGCGAGCTTTTCAATTTCGGCTCGAAATATGCAAATATTTGCGAGTTTATTGTGGGGTTAAATATACATTAATAGGTTGAATGCAGTAGATGTCCTTGAAACTATATTATATTTGTTCAATTGTGCTTCAATAAGAGCATTTGTCTGGTGTAATGGAAGTGTGTTTGCTATTGGGTATTAAATTAAAAGGTGGTTTATGAAAACCAGGGATGGATAAGTTGTGAAGAACATTGCCTTTTAAGAATGTGAAGTTGAGACCTCGTAAATTTACATTTTGATCAAGTATGACTGTTAAATGAAGTGTTAAATGCAGCAGTATAAGAAAGCAAGCCTAAGACACAGGAACAAAAAACAACACCCTCGAACAAAAAAAAAACAAAAAAACAAAAAAAAAAAACATAGAAGAACAAAAAATATCCAAACATTTTTCAGTGGTATTTATGTGTCTGTCTAATATGGTTGAAAAGACATGTACCATCAGAGAAGAAAGCCATATCGTCTTAGAACACATTTCTAACATGTATTAACTTGCAGTTGACCACTTTTGTTCTTATACATGTATCTTCATTCTCAGTCAATTAAGACTTAATCAGTTATGAGGCGGTAAACTTTCTAAAATTCAAAATGATGGATGTGTACGCTTCACATATACAGAGGTGCCAACCAGTACGATTTAATTGTATTTAGTACGATAATAAGAGTGGAATAAGATAATACGATATCACCTCATTTTTCAAAACAGAAAAAAAAACCCCGGCGGAATCGCATTAAAACATGAACAAGTAAACCCCTGCAGCCCCAACAAAAACTTTGCTTTACAATTTTCTTTTAAAATTTTAATGAAAGAGCAAACATTTTACTTGACTGTACGTACCAGTATCACATTTTTCTGAAATTTTACTGGCCCGGGGCCAACCGGCCATTGGTAGTGTCGAGTTTTCGTGAAAATCTGATTTTTCTCTCCAAAATCCGATTTTTTAGGATACTCAGTCTGTTTTTTTTGTGTCAAGAGGTTGGCATCTCTGCATATATCATTACTACAACATCTTTTATCTATCTTGCTATATTGGAATTTTAAGGATCATATTTATTGTCAATTTAACAATGGAAATTTGTGGTATACTTTCATTCAAAAAGACAAATTCAATAAAACAATTTGTGTTGACAAATAACAAAAACTATCAAACATAGATATAGTCATGCATCAAAAATAATAAACATGTGTACAAAGTGAGGTGGAACATGCTTGTAATAATCTCATCAATATTTCTTGTTGTATTTCTTCTTGCAGTAGATTCAGTAGTGCCACAGAAAGGAGTAGCTTAGCCAGGCCGATGAGGGGACCACCAAAGAACCGCAAGAAGAAGAGGAGATCTAAGATGCCACCAGTACACAGAGTAAGTATGGATATAACGGTGAAACCTGTGTATTTAAGGCATCTGGTAACTTTGTCTCAGATTCTGAAAAAAAATCATGGATTTAGCTCATGCTGCAATGATAATTATAAACCTTTAGGTCAGTCAGGAACCCCATGACTTTTACAAGCCAATCGCCTGTCTGATTATCAAGATATTTATGATTTAAAATCAAAACCAAATTTTGCGTTTTCCTAACGGTTTTCATAACACTATAGTCCATTGGGAAAAATGAGTACCCAGTATAGTAAAACCGGTCACTCAAAGATGCATCTCAGATTTAACATTGTTAAACGATGCCTCAGGGAGAATTAACAGTGTAGGAATACATTATTGAGCTTTGGTCACTTGAGAAAGGTTAAGTTCTGGCCAAGGGGGCAGGAAGTTCAGTATTAATCAGCTTTAAACTTTAGGGTATATTTTGGGGTCTTAGATTTCAAGTATTTTGGGGGACTCGGATTTCAAGTATTTACGGTATTAACAGAATTATCGAGACCACGAATGCATAGCATAATTTCTGAGTGTTAGATCACTGCCCACATTTATGAATTCAGACCTTCACCAAATCACTAGCCTTTTTATGCAGATTGTCTCATTTCGTCCTATATAAGTTTATAAGGATAATAAAATTTGTTGAATGGATGCATGTACGATGCTTGAATCATGTAGCAAGTTTTAGACATTTAATTCCCCCTCACAGGACATGTACCGGTATGTCTCTACAATCAGGCATCCTGAAAGAACTATTGGGGATATTTGAGTTACAAGTTTTTCTTATTTTTAAATATTAATTTTTTTTTTAATTATTATCAGTAATATATTTTTTTGTCTTCAGTACAATCGATAGCTTTTCATTGGAATTTCGATTTAGAGCTTTTCATGCATATAAAATGTCGAGCTTAACAGGTACATATATTGCCTTTTTTAATATTCATCTTGCATCAGGGAAGTTTCAGGTTTTACTACAGTAATTGCCTTGTATTTTATCTTCATCAGATTATTTTTAATTCTTGTGCATAAGACATACGTGAAGTGATTGCGTTCTGTCCTTGTGTAGAATGTAGACTTGAACTGTGGACATGGAATGCAATTGAACACTTTTTCGCTGAAAATACAGGATCCATTTCAATTTGTTCACTTTTTTTCTCTCTTTAGGCATCATCTTTCAGTAGTATAACAGACTCAACAATGTCCCTCAACATCATTAATGTCACATTAAACTTAGGTAAGTCTACTAAGTCATCAGCTCAAATTCAATATTTGTTTGACTGCATTCTGTATTTATTTTGATTTGACTGCATTCTGTATTCATTTTGATTTGACTGCATTCTGTATTCATTTTGATTTGACTGCATTCTGTATTCATTTTAATTTGACTGCATTCTGTATTCATTTTGATTTGACTGCATTCTGTATTCATTTTGATTTGACTGCATTCTGTATTCATTTTGATTTGACTGCATTCTGTATTGATGTTTGTTGTTGTTGTAAATTTGAAATGATTTTGTCAATAATGTTGTTAAGTTTAGGACCAGAAGAGTGCCAGTCTTGTGTAAAATTTGTTAAATGGCCTTCTGGCTCCAGACAGAAAATATATATTTTAATTTAGATGTTTTTATTAAAATTATTTGACATATACTGAAAATTACATTTGGTTATAAATACATCATGTAGTGGTTTGGGTTGAACCTTCTTTCTTCTGTTTACTTCATTATTTTGTTTTAATGTTTCTAGTTCAACTGTATTTAAGCAAGGTAGAAAATAAAACATGCGCTAGACAGATGATTATTGCAATGTGAAATTTACCACAGCCATCTTGTATTTTTCTTTGTAGGTGCAAAATGATGATGTGTTAGGTTTCAATGAAGTTAAATGTTTTGTTGTTGTTTTATATGTGTGTGAAGTATGTCACACAAGAGAGCTGTTAGCTGTAAGTACTATTGGAGGGGGAGGGGGGGGGGGGGGGAATGTACGCGAAAAAAGAAAATGAAAGGATAAGAATTAAATGATTTTCGTTAACATGTCTGTAAAAGTAACTACGGTAGCAAGATGAATAAAACTTCAGTAGGAATCTTCTGTGTGCTAAGATGTCTATTTTTTTGAAATTATTGATATGGAATCATTTTTTTTCTTTCTTGCAGATAAAATTAATTTTCTTGGCATCAGTATTGTTGGTCAGAGTAATAAAGGAGGAGACGGTGGCATTTATGTGGGCTCCATAATGAAAGGGTAAGTCTTCGAGTCAAAACCTCATGCACGTTCTGTTACTTTCAAACCTAAAGGAAGAGAGGTTATATGAGATGAAAGGCCAAATTCATTCTTTGAAATGCAGTATTATGTTCTCATATTAAAATGTACAGGTACATGTATCTTACAAAATATGAAGATACAAAATAAAAATACAGGTTTAAAACACATCCCACAGTCCATAGTGTAATTTTTTTTTTTAAAGTTTGTTATCATGCATTGCATCTGCATTATAGAAAATAAATGATGTACCAATATCTTGTTTTTATTGGGTCTCTTTAATCAATTGACTTTTTGGTGAAAGGATGCCAATTTGTTTGCTGCGACATCGTAATCGTAATCACAACATTTCCTATCAAGACAAAAACTTGTTTGTTCCTCTAGTTGCAAAACATGCTATACACAATGCTCTCTAAGATGTCTTGAGGACAATGCAGTTATATTAAGAATGGTGCGGAATAAAGAACCGATCACTTTCAATTTTCCTCAAAAGGAGGGGTTAACGACATTTATCATAGGAGCCGCGGACTGGCCGAGCTTGCGATTAAAACGCAAACCCCAATAAATGCTCAGTTGATGGGTTTCGTAATAGGGTTTGAAAATGTTATCATTGCGTTGCCTTTGTGTCCGCGCCTAACTCCTAATCAGTGACTCACATTTTGTGAAATTAACTCCCAAGATATGGCAAGAATGACAACAATGTGTGCTTTTCTCATTTGGAATGTGACTCAATGTTGTAATTGCCTTTAACCCGGCCCGGCATAGCTGTAGGCAGTACTTGATGAACGATATGCACTTTTCTCGCTCAGCTTCTTGTCTCGATGAGAAAAACCTAGCAATTTTCTTTGCCATTTGGGAGTAATTTTGATTTAACAGAATAGTAATCAAATTTGGCAGTTTGATGCATAACTCAGGTTTTTGTCACAGAAAGTATTTTTTGTTGTGTTGGAATGATTATTTTAAGGTAGATCATGCTGATGAGTCATCTCATTTGAAAAGTGCAAAGGATGTGACTAGAAATGTGGAAATAGTGAAAAAGAGGCATTTTTGTTAATGAATAGTGGAAATACCCTCACTGCGGTGAAATCATCACATAACTTTGAAACCTGAAGAATATAGGAATTTTAAAGCAAATGAGACATTATTGATGGATAATGAAAATATTTTCACTGCGGTGAAAGCATCACATAACTTTGAAACCTGAAGAATATCAGAGTTTTATAGCAAATGAGACATTATTGATGAATAATGAAAATATTCTCACTGCAGTGAAATTATGACACAACTTTGAAACCTGAAGAATATAGAGAGCGTTATAGCAGATGAATTTATTCAACCAAGAGCTTATTGGATGAGATTTCAACCCGATCTTATTTGATTTGATTTCATTTTGATATCTTCCTCTAAATTATGAACTGAGATTATGTTAGTACTCAGCTTCTCTTTTATAAAAAAAATGTATAGGAATTAGCAAAGGGTATTTCATCATTTCATGAGCATGATGCACTTTTTGTTGGCTAATAGTCTGACTTGCTTATGAATCTGTTAAAAGTTGGGTAATCATTGACAAATCAAATATTATTTGTTGCAAATTTAAAGCTTACAATTACCTGTGCAAAAGATGCGATTAAAGGAGTCTTAACAATGCATGATTCACAACAAAGTACAAAGTTATTATCATACATGTACATTTCCCTCAACCAAAGACTCACCGAGAGACTGGGGGCTATTTCTTGATGGGACCACAGGTTTGCTGTGTGCGAGACTTGTACACCAATTAATGATGTTTCCACCAAGTCAGGTGTCAGCGAATAATGACCTACTGCACGTGGAAACTGATGACCATCTCCCTTTAAGTCATTATGTGATATTGGATGAGAGTGAAAAACTGAAAATATATATATTTTTTCTATTGATAACAGGGGCGCAGTAGCAGCAGACGGGAGGATAGAACCCGGAGATATGATCTTACAGGTAAGAAGAAATCATATATGTATCTTATCTGAGTAAACCGATTACCCACTGAATGACATACAGTGAAACCACCTGTTTAGAAAGACCGCTGGTCTATATTTACCACGTACAGTCGAATCTGCTTTAGCAACCACTTGTATAGAAAGACCACATTTTGCCATGCACTCCCACCCCCTGACAAGGCATTTGTGCATTTAATTTTTTAATTTGTGCATTTAATTTCCAAGCCTGCACATTGCCAAACTCAGAGATCTAACTTTGCAGTTATTATCTAGATCATTAATAACACGAGGCGATATTAAAAATAATCTAATATGTCATCTATATTTTATCTGTTCCTCAGGTCAACGAGGTCAGCTTTGAGAACATGAGTAATGATGACGCAGTCAGAGTATTAAGAGAAGCAGTACATCAACCAGGGTACGTCTACTATAAAAATCATTCCATTTATGTTTTAGTCTATCAGATTAGTCTATCAAATTGTGTATGTATTTATCAGTTTTACTGCCTTTTAAGTTGGTTTCAACCTTGGAAAATCTTCTAAAGGTGCTGATTGTTTCAAGTTAAACAAAATTATGTTTCTTATGTATAATTGTGAAATAGAAATGAAACTTAATTTCTATAGACTTATTCCAAAGTCATCAAACTAGGCTTGGCAGTAAGAACTTATCCCAGGTATTAAAATGTGTGATTTTGAGGCATTTTGTAATAATAACCCTTTAAAAATGATGCGCGCTATTCCTCAGTTTTTTTCTTCATTTTAGTACTCATGTATCACCTTTGACTAATTGTTTCCATCTCTGTTATTTCTATGCAGTCCTATCAAATTAGTGGTAGCTAAATGCTGGGACCCCTCACCGAAAGGATACTTCACCATTCCAAGAAGTAAGTGAATATTTTGTTTTCTTTCTCTCCCCCCCCCCCAAACAAAAATATACTCCTGTTTTCTTATTGTCTGCTCGAAGGAGGACACGATGTTCCACATTTGTCCAAAAATACATCTTGTAAATGTTCATTAATTGTATGATTTCCTTCCTGAATGATCGATTTTCAATCTGATTAAAGCCCAACTGCACTACTTATAGCTACTTGCGCCCTCTATATAGCAAACAATGCCTAAGTGGTGATCGTTGGTCCTCCATGGTCCCCTTTTTCTTATTTAATTGAGAGCTGATTTGATGAGATAACCACCTGTCAGTGACCATGCAGGGAGGTTTAATCCCTCCTGGCCAAACTAGTGCAGATATGCTGTAAGTTAAATTCATTGAAATCTAAACACATTGCAGTTAATTTGATGGAGTGAAATTTATTCTACCAAGAGCTAACAACGCACTGTTAAAATTGTATCCATCTGTGTTATACTTTCTTTGCGAACTGTACACTGCAACACATCATTATACAGACTTAGCACAATGTAAAAACTACCCATCAGTCTGAACTCAAGGATTTTTATGTTTACCCCTCCCCCCCCCCCCCCTCACAAGTAATCCAGTGTTTTTAAAGTTTGTGTTTCAAATGTATTTGTATAATCATTGTGAATATGTATGGCCTAAATTCTTTGTAGACTTCATATCTGTGACAAGAAAATTGAGCAAGGTTCTGTTTAAATGATGTGTAAATTATCATTTATCATGTGCAGGTGAGCCGGTAAGACCCATCGACCCAGGTGCATGGGTAGCACACACAAATGCCATGAAAGGTAAGGATGTGGATAGTTATGATGATGATTATGATGATGATACATGTAGTGGTGATGATGATGATGGTTATGATGATGAAGATGATAATGATGATTATTATTACAATGATGATGATGACTATTATTATGATGATAATAAGATTTGTTGCAGCATTTTGATATACAATTTGGGAGAGATTTTTCTGTATCCTTATTCTTCTAGGTGAAGCAGGTCTCTATAATAATTTTACTTTGGCCACTACTCTAAACTATAAGATGACAGTGAAGATGATAATGATGATGGTGGTCATTATTATAATGATAATAAGATGTTTTAGAGCATGTGAATGTAAAGTTTTGGGGGAGACTTGTCTGTATCCTAATTCTTCAAGGTGAAGAGGATCTCTTTAATGATTTGGTGTTTGCCATTTCTCCGCTCTCCTTTGAGAATAGTGGATATTGTCTGTTCAAAACCAGGAGGGTGTTAACTGTGTGTAAAAGTGTACAAGTTAATGCTCCAAACAGATATCAGTAATTCCTGTTTCCAAAGATGATGAAGGCATTAAACTTGATATCAAAACAAATTAAAGATATGAAAAATTACCATGAATTTTTTTTTCTTTCTCCATCTTACTACAGTTGCTGCAGAGTATCAAGGAAGGGCGGGGCCTATGAGTCCGTCAATGACCTCTATGACCTCTACAAGCTCTTCCATCACCAGCTCACTACCAGAGTCAGAGAGTGAGTTGAGATAAAGTCTGTTTTGGGTAGAAGGGGGTAGGAGGAAGGGGAGGAAATTGGTAGGGAAGGGAAGAGGAGGAAGGATAGGATAGAAAGAAGGAGAGAAAAGGGCTAGGGCATTGGAAGAGGGAAGGGGAAAGGGGACAGGGAGCAGGGAGCAGGGGGGGGGGGGCAGGAGAAGGGGGAGGGGTGAGGAGTGGATAGGAGAAGGGTAAGGGAGAAGAACGGATAGGGAATAGGGAGAGGGAGGGATAGATGAAAGGCTAGGGGATGGGAGAAGGGAGGAGGAGGGGCAGGAGGGACAGGAGAAGGGGAGAGGGACTGGACAGGGAGGGGAGGGGCAGAGGAAGGGCTAGGGGTGGGAAGGGCAAAGGGAAAGGGAGCAGAAAGGGCAGAAGAAGTGGGGAGGGGAGTTGGATAAGAGAAGGGGAAGGATAGAGGGATTGATAGGGGATGGGGAGAGGGAGGGCAGAGGAGGGGCAGAGGAATGGGAGGGATAGAGGAGATGGGATATAGAAAGAGAGGAGGTGGGATTAGACATTGGGCTCTAATGTTTAGGCTAATAATGTTAGAAATAATCATGTATCTTCATGAATTATTACAGTATTGAGATGTGATACTAACTCATCTGTTTAGATAGTAGTGTCATATACCCTTGTCATTATCTGGGCCCTGTTTCACAAAACTTGTTATCAATAACAGGTAGCAATAACTGTTATAAGCTACTGAAATTGTGGCATTTGGTTGGCTGAGAGGACATTTGTCATAGAAATTGAACATCTATTATTGATAACAAGTTCTTGTGAAAAAGGGCCCCATCTCAGTCCATCTCTGTGTGTCTATCTAACTTTTTCTCTCCCCTTGATTCATGGAGGGTTAGAAGACTTTGGACGCCTCACCCTCAACACGGACATGACGACCATTGCTAGGGCCATGGCGGCTCCGGATTCCGGCCTCGACATTAGAGATAGAATGTGGCTCAAAATCACCATCTCAAGTGCTTTCATAGGTAAGTCGACCTGTGAATCCTAGGTGTGGTCAAAGGTCAAAGGACTCTGGCCATAATATAACCGGAAAATCACATAGAAACATGTACAAATAAACCCCTGCATCCCTGAAAAAAATTTGCTTTACAATTTTCTCATTAAATGATAATGAAAGAGCAAACATTTTACTTCAATGTTTTTTACCAGTAAAACATTTTTCTGACATTTTACTGTATCGGGGCCAACGGGCGCAGTTTTCGTGAAAATCTGATTTTTAAAGATATTCAGTCCGTTTTTGGGGTGTCAAGGGGTTGGCATCTCTGCCTTTATAAGCCTATTACTTTTCATCACTACCGTTGTTATTTCTCATAGGTTCTGATGTAGTGGAATGGTTGTTCACGCACGTCGAAGGGTTCCAGGACAGGAGAGAAGCGAGGAAGTACGCCTGCAATCTCTTAAAAGCCGGCTTCATCAGACACACCGTCAACAAGATCACATTCTCCGAGCAGTGCTACTATGTCTTTGGTGACCTCTGCGGAAGTAAGTCTCAAGGGTTAACTTATGTTAAAGCCCCACTGTACTACTTATACAGGTAGCTACTTGTGTCCTCTATATAGCAGACAATGCCTAATCGATGCCAGTTGGTCCCCCATGATCTCCTTTTTCTGATGTTAATTAAAAGCTGATTTGATGAGATAACCACCTGTCAGTGACCTTGCAGGGAGGTCTAATTCCCCCTGGCCAAACTAGTGCAGACTTTGAAAGAAACTGCAAAAGGATGATTTTGTGATCTGAAAAAAAATGTACATACTTTCGGATTGATGTGCTGCAGGATGGTCCTAGAATAGTAATAAAATTGCGATTTGCCACAGGAACTTGTAATGTGCTTTCACCTGTAAATTCCATTCAAGAATTGTATGGAAGTATTGAACAGTGGAATTGGACTAAAAAGGTCTGCATTTTACTTTCAGAAACATAACAGTTATATCTCTTTAGGTTTATATCCGCTGAAGATAAAATAGTTAAAATGCTCTCAATTTTGACCGATATTACATTTGCTTGTTGATTTTCATTGTGTTGATAATTACATTGTCCGAAATGTTGTTCTAAGCAGCTCTATGGTTTGTGTTTTATATCACTCTCTTCAAATTTGTTTTGAGGTTTGGTATGCTTCGCGGTTTTATCAGGTATCGTAACAAACTATTTTAAAGTCCCACTGCACTACTTGTAGCTACTTGCGCCCTCTTTATAGCAAGCAATGCCTAAGCAGTGACCGTTGGTCCCCCATGATCCTCTTTTTCTTATGTTGATTGAGAGCTGATTTGATGAGATAACCACCTGTCAGTGACCATGCAGGGAGGTGTAATCCCTTCTGGCCAAACTAGCGCAGACAGGTTTTGAGGTTTCGTATGCTTCATGGCTTAATCAGGTATCGTAACTAACTATTTTAAATCACGTCTTCTCCATCCCCCCTCCCCCCCTCCCCAGACATGGCTTCGCTGTCCTTAGGAGACGAGGCATCAGAGGCGGACAGGGACACGTTAGCACCCCTACCCCAGCAGGGCCATTGGATGCCCCCGCCCCTCCCCACTGCACCCCCAATGCCTTATCAGATGCCCCCTGGGGTGCCGGGCTACACCAGCTTTGACACAGCTAGCTATACAAGCTTCGGTGCCACCAGCATTGGTAGTGGAAGCGGAGGTAAGTTGATGGAGATTCCAGTCTTTTTTTTTGCCATGCCCATGAAATAGTATACTGTACAAATCCAATCCAAGAATTTATAAAATGCCAATATCTAGTTGCCTAATCAAAGGCGCCGATGAAACTACCAAAAATGTCTGTTCATGATTCTAACTGGGAAAGACAAAAAAAGCAGTTGCTAATTGTAAGCAATCTGAAATAGGTATGTCTTTAGGTGAGTTCTAAAAGTGGATAACTGGTGACAAGAGCCAAGGATTTGGGGAAGACCATTCCACAATCTCGATGCACAGGCAGTAAATGATCGATCCCCTAGAAGAGAGAGTGTTCGAGGACTCTCAAGCAGGTATTTACCTGCAGATGGCAAATTAGTTTGAGGGTTACAAATAATATACACTAGTAAGGGCGTTAGTAAGAATTATGTTAGCTATACAAGCTTTGGTGCTACCAGCATAGATTGTGGAAGTAGAAGTAAGATAATGGATGGAGCAGTTAATAAAAAATAAAAAATTGATTTATGTAAGAAAAGCTCTTAAAGAGCTCTGTGAAATTTAAAGAGATTTTAGGAAAGAACCTTTTTTTGTAGAAATTCCAAAATGTGTTTTGGTGCACACACACACACACACACACACACATAAAAAATTAAAAAATTGAACGGTAACAATGAGATTTGTTTCCCCATGAGCACTTAATAAAGCCCTATGAGTTTTTAGTAGTTATTTTCACTGAAATGCCTCAAGTAAATTACTTCTAACTCATTATTGTGGGTAGTAGTGATTCTGATAATAGTCTGAATAAAATTTCTGAGTAAGATTGATAAGCACTTTATCTGAGGGTACAGAGCCCCAGATATTGCTATTACCCCAGCTTGAAATTTTTGTCCATGATATGATGATGAAGTATTTAAAGAATTTCTTCCTGACACTTTTATATTTCTAGGAAGCAGTGATTCTGGTCACAGCCAAGCCAAAGCCATGGCGGCCAAAGGAGGGTCAGGCAGCAAGGGCAGTGGGTCAGAGTCATCTGACCAAGCCTCGACCGTGGCCGGAGACATCCCTCCTGCCCTCATGGGCAGCATGCAGGGCATCGGTCCCCCCTCCGTCACCAACACCGGCATGATGGTGCCCGGCGGCGCACCCTGCGGTAGCCTCGGGAGCCTCGGTAGCCACGGTGCCCTGTCCAACCACGGCATCGGTCCCCCTTCCATGGGAGGGGTCCAGCACCAAGTCATCGGCTTCGGTCCCCCTCCCGGTGTCCCCCACCAGCTGCAGCACGTGATCGGGCCCCCACCGCACCAGACCCAGGGGATCGGCCCCGCCCAGGGCATCGGTCCCCCTAGCCAGGGGGTGCCCCAGATGATGGTACCAATGATGCCTCGACAACTCGGTAGCGTGCCTGAGGATCTCTCCGGCAGCAGACAGTCATTCCGCATGGCCATGGGAAACCCTTGTGAGTTCTTTGTCGATGTCATGTAAACAAAAATATATCCAAACCGACAACCAACCCCAATCCAGCTAGACTAAATCCTCTTTTATATACTTTCTCCCACCTAGCATCAGTTACCCATGACACCTCTCGCTTGTATCATATAGAAATATATATTATCTACCTGTGTGTTTTGTTTGAGTTGAAATAGCATGCATCTATTATACTTTATATTTGTCTGTGTGTTGCCGATAGCTGTGGTAGGAAGTACAGCTTTCAAAAAAAAATGCTAGATGATGTAACATAGAGCTTCTTGTGCAATGTTGATTGATCTGGAGAGAGAAAGGTCAGTCGTGTAATGCTTATTTTTTTGTTGCGATTAGTAGTATTCTGGCAATAATCATAGTAGATTCTTTGTTCAATGTGTGATTTTTAAAAACCTTTTGTCTAAATTATCCTTGACTGAATTTTTAAGGACATTAATTCAGATGCTTTTGAGGACATTAATTATACTGCCATGATACAACTATGCGTGTATCTGATGAATGAGACAGGATTACAAAAATTATGCTTATGGACAATATCAAAACGAGTATAGGAAATTGCCTTTGAAAAATCTTAATTTCAAGATATATACTTGGGAAGGGTGGAGAGGGGTATGGCTTACACAAAAATATGTGAAATACCTTGCATGATATCAAAAAGCTATACTAGTTACTAATTGTAGAGAATGCTTTTGACTATGACTTTGTTTTCTGTGATGAAAAATGCAGTGTTTAGGAGCAAGTAACCTAACATATTGTAATGGTAAATCATTTCTGCCACAAAATATAAAAGATAGGTAAAAGTGATGAAAAAACGTTGTATAAGTCTTTCAGATGAATAAAACTAATAGCTGTGGTTAAAAATTTCACTTTTTAATCTCAATTTTATAAGAATTTTATGAGAAGTGATTATTCTTTTTAAACTAGACTTGTGTAGAGCTGTCTTAAATCATGAAATGATACTTATTTTTGGATTGATATTGGAATTGTGATAATCCAAAATGATCATTAGCTAAGGCAAGAGAATAAGAGATTTAGGGTATTTGTATTTTTGATAGTAAAGATGATTTTCTTACTTCGTCCTTAAAATATGGAGGCCAAAATTAGTGCCAAACTCTGTTACATGGACTCCATTCAAATTATGCCTAAGAAATTGAAAATTTGAAGTATGTTACAGTTGTTCTTTGGGTATCTATAAATTTGCCAAAGTAATGACTCGACTATGATTTGCTGTTTTTATTATATTTTGGCATGTTGCTTAATAATCTAAATAATTATGATTTCATTTTAAATTTGTGAAGAAATTATGCATTGGAATGTAGATTTAAGCTTTACCGATACAAAGGAAAATAAAAGTTTGGATGTCGTATCTGCATGCAGCCAGCCAGTGTATTTTGTGACCGCTGTATAGTCCCATATGTTTATTTTGATGTATTCCTATTTGTTTGATATACCCATGTAAACACCCATCCCATATGTGCACCCCACCACCACCTGATACCCATTCATTGTGTACAGTACCTCTTGTGTTTTTTTTAATCATACATGCATATTTACACTTTTTATTTTCTGTCTTATAAATTGCAAGTTGTCTTTCTCTTCTTGAAATAACATCTCCCTTCCTCTTCCTTTTTGAATGTTTGCGCCCAAATAAATCCCTTTGTGCACTTAATGTTACTTCTCACCAGTATTCATGTATTGTGTATCTACTCCATAATATAAGTTTACAGTATAGAACATCAATAAATATTAGAGTTCAAATTGTTAAAATATCTGAACAATATACTGCAGTTAAATGACAAAAGGTAACTTTATTTCTTGTAAGAGTTAACATTTAAACTATGAAGCTATTTTGTTCGCAAACTAATTTAGAACATTATTTGACCCATATGTAAAATTTGTGTCACATTAAATGTACCAATGTTGAAGATAGTGGTAAGCTTTGCATTTGTTCAAAATATTCGTTTTTTTTAAAACTTTGTATTAGATACATTTCTTTTAAACAAATACAATTAAAGAATAAAAAACAAAGAAAAAAACAGACAAGGAAATAATATAATGAAAAGGAAACACTTACACAAAAACTAAAGCGAACAAATATAATAAAATCACTAGAAAATATATGCTTAACAGATATAATTACAGCAGAAAATTTGGAAGTTGAATATTTTCTGCACAGTTGTCAATGGCATTGAGTTCCTGATTTTTCTAATCATGAATATCAACATTTATTATTACCAGTAATTCTTTACTAGTCTAACCTCGTTTAGAATTTCCAAATTTTATACATGTTTACCCCGTAATTGCTTACCATTATTCTTCTACTTGTTAGCATGGTATTTATGATACTGATAAAAGTATTCAAATGTATTTTATTTTTGTTTAAGCCCATCATCTCTTATTTTATCTCTCTTTCTTTCTCTCTCATACTCTAGATTTTGATGATTCAGTCAGCGTCACACTTTTGTGAAGTGCGGAAATTTTGAAATCATTTTGATTAGGTACAGTAGTGTTTGATTGAAGATAATATTGCACAATGTTAAAGAGCTAAAATAACTTTGGGAGGTCAAATTGGAATGACCTTGTCAAGGCTGGGGTTGGAAATTTGAACTCGATGCTGACAAAATTCATTTTAACAATCTAAAATAGATTCTGGGGACCATGATTTGACTAGAGCACAAAGAATATTGATATGTTTTGAGTATGATATTAATATGGTACAAACCAAAAATTCCATTCTAATATTATTTGTGTTTATTTTATTGTTTTCTTTTGTTTGATCATGAGTTGGATCGTATAGGGTCAGTATCAAATCTAGGATTTAATATCAAGCCGAGCCTTAATGCATAAAGGTTGCTATCGAATACAAATGAAGATCATTAACAAATTTGTAATGTTAGCCCTTCAGGATCGATAGGATAGCTGTACTATTGAGTATAGGCCCAGATTGACATATAAAGGAGAATTATGCTTGATTGTAACTGCGTGATTCCAAAAATGCAACAGGCCTCGGGTCAAAACTCACTTTCAGATTCGTTTGCAATTGTTGTATTGATTACTTGTTAACGAATATATGTTGTGTCCTCATTAAATCATCATATACATAAAAAACATACGCTTGCATGTTCGTACCATATATATTCAAATCATTTTATCAGCTGCTTGCCATGCACCCTCTCCCCACCACAATTTGCCTGGCTTTTGCCCCCTATGTTGCCAATATCGCATGATTTCATTTTTAGCTCATTCACCTATGGCCCGATAACCGTATTTCACAAGAAAATGCTGTATCAATTTCATGCATATTTTATAAAAATTTATGATAACACTTTTATAACTTGATTGTTATACATACATGTATTTTTGATCATCCATGTTCAGTCATGAAATGCAAAGACTAACAGACATTGTAATTATCGCTCTATAATCAGTCATTTACACGTATGTTGGAATCTGACTTCCACATGCATTGCATTGCACCTCAAAACCATTGTCATGCCAGTGAATATTCAGCAATTCAATGGACTGAAAGAAAGAAAGGGGACATTTCTAATGTCATGATTCATATGCACACACCAGTCATATCAGCCATACTAACTAAACATCTTGATATTCATTCAAAGAGGCTGCTTGCATTCATGATTAAATCATAAGTAAAAACGAGACAAGTACTAAACTGATGAAATTTCAACAACCCCAAAAATTGTGATTCTTATTTTGTTTTGCCTCCACCTTCTCCCCCCTTCAGCCTAGGACGCTAAAGTCTTGCGAATTTAAAGAAGCTGCCCCCGCCGCCGGCGCCGCGAGCAAGCCGGAATCATGGTGCACCTCAAGCTCATCGCTCCCTCCCCGCCTTCGGCCCCCCGCAACTCTCCCACGAAGCACACGGGTCTGTAAAGCACAACTGTCAAAATGTTGAAAGGGAGAAAAAGTCGAGAAAGGAACGCTTTCTGCTCGAACATGATTTTGTTGTTGTTTCTGACTTGATTGAAATTTGTTGATTTTGAGTTGGTTCAATGTTGGACTTTTGTATTAGATGTCAACCTGCTGCTTTTGGGGCAGATTGTTTTTGTTTTAATTGAAAGAGTTTTGTTATGCAAGCATGGCTTTGCCATTTGCTTGGTTTCACCAGGCCATTGTTATATTTTGTGATTCACAACTATTTTTCCTGTTTTTCCTCTTGTTTTATTCAACTCATTGTTATCACTTATGTGCTGTATTTTGGATGTTTTTCATTGTTCCAACCTTAGCTTTATTTTCAGTTATTGTTCTCTCTCTCTCCCTCTCTCTCTCTCTCTTTCTTTCTCTCTCTCTCTCTCTCTCTCTCTCTCTCTCTCTCTCTCCCTATCCTTCCCACTTCATATCTTTCTACATTATTATTCATTTTTGTATTTCACTATTTTTGTTCATGTTTGTCCAATCTTTTCATCCTTCTCAACATTTTACCTTTCTGTTCTAACCTTTTTTTCTGTGCCAACCATTTCCATTGCCTATGTCTCCACATTAAAAAATCTGTCATTTCATTTTAAAGAAAGATACTGTGCCCATCAATATGAATTACATAATGTGCACTATTCTTGAAAATTCAACATGCCCAAGAATGCTCAATGTTTTCCATCTCTTACTCCATCTCTTTCCTGCTCTCTCTCTCTCACTTTAAAATCTCAATCACTACCCTATTTCTTTCTTCCCCTCTTGCGACACTTGGTTTTTCTCTCCCCTTTATCTTTTTTTCTTCCCCTGCTCTCTATACGTCTCACTGAAATCCTCTAGTGTACTTGCTGCCATGCTCAACTATTTTCACTCCTAAATGATCTTGTGTCTACCGAGGCAAGCAAAGGCAGGCTCCACTTTGTATTCTATAAATCACAAAGTGCAATTTGGCCTCTACATCTCTCCCTTTGATAATTTACATCATGGAGAGGAAAAGAAAAAAGAACGCTTGTACAATCATCAACAATCACATGCACAATCACATGCACAGTGATGGCATCCTGTTGGCACTCAAATTCCAAATTATCCCTTATTCTTCATTCATTCAATAATTGAGCGATGCATTCATTCATTCATTCATTCATTCATTCAGCCATTCATTTATTTTCATGGAGCCAATAACGTATTTTTTCATCCAAGCATTATACAGACATTCATGCATTTTCACAAGCATTCAGGCATTAATTCGTTCAATCATTGAATGCATTCATTCATGCCTTCATTTATGTATTCATTCATGCAATTTGTTAATGCATCTTTTCATTCAATCATGCGTTTATTCATGGATTCAAATTGGCATTCATTCGGTCAGTCATTCAATTATGTGGTAATGCAGAAAAAAATGCATACCAGTATAAAACACTGAAAAATCATGTATTCATTATAGAAAGTATTCGCTTTAAAAGGTATAGTGTATTCACAAAAATGATTAATGCACAAGTAAATATAAGCATGGATAAGGTCTGTATATCCATGATTTAACAGTACTATATCAAAATCCAAAGGTTTCATTTCATCAATTAGAAGGGCATTTATCTTCGTTCAACTTCACATTTCATCCCAAATCATGGACATCATCATCATCTTGATCATTGGGGTCAACCAAAATCCCCCCTCTCTTCTCCCGTACTCCTTGACCCCCCCCCCCTACCCACAAATCATGTGCATCTATCTCGTTTGTTCAAACCCCACTTTACGAGATATTCAATTTGATAAGTTGCCATGGTAACTACCGGTAATTGAATTTACTAGGTGTCTATCTATTCCATTTGGACCGCTGTGCGCTCCATAGTTCTGCATGCATAATGACGATCAGGTATTCAGTGATAAACGAAGACGGGACGATATACATACCTTCCAAAGTATTTATTGAATAATGAAATTGAAGAAACTTATTACCAATGCCTTGTGTAGTGTAAACCTGGGCAGGGTTTCACGAAACCGTCGTTAGCACAAGTTCCTGGACATCCCATTGAAATGCATGTATGAAGTTTAACACATGTTTCAATGGGATGTCGGTGAAGTTGTACTCATGATGGTTTTGTGATACGATGGCCTGCTTCATAATGGTAACTTGAAAAATATGCAGTAATTTATTAAGTAAACGTAGTGTGTGAAGGTCGAATCATGAAAAGTATCCCATTATGTATTCCATTATGTATTCATGGATTAAACGTGATGCACATGTAGCCTATGCAGCACGTATCTCCCTTGTGCTTCTCAACTCTGTGGTCCTTATTCTACTGATCTGAAATTGGACAGAGGGCTAATTTTCCCCATTGTTTGACATGACTTCAGTTGTCATGTCGGGTTTAACTGATTGAGTAGAAATAAAGGCCTACAGACTTTAGGAAAAGTTTCATTGAATGTTTTCTACAGTCTAGCTGATAAGTTAGTTGACGAATTAAAAAAATAAATCATGTTTCTTTTCAAAAGTAATGGAGATTTATGTTACTAGGGCAATCTGGAGCCTTTTAAAGATTCCTGTTGCAGAACTATGCATTAGGAAGTACACTTTTTGGAAACTACTTCATTTTGATTTGGTCAATTTTGATAGAGATCTGGATGAAGAATATTTAGTAGATAAAGAAAGAGAAATACTGCAAGATTAGAAAAAAAGAAAAAATAAGCTAAACAAATGATTCATTTTAATATGATTCAAGGAATAATAGAAAACAGAATTGTAGATCATCTTTACTGTAGTGGGAGAGATATCAGATTTAAATTTGATGTTATCACAGTTCAAGTTCAACATACGAGATAATCAAAATTGAATATGTTTTTTTTTTCTTTCAAACACGTGTAGGTGATTGCTATGTTGTCATTTGTTGCACTAAGTGTCAAAATGCCACAATTTTGGACAAATCTCATCTTTTGAGATGGCTGATACGTCGGTAGATTTTTTACTTTTTTTTTCTCTGTCAAAGGGGAATATTTTCGTGATTTAGGAATAAATTCTATCTGGAATTCCGAAGTAATGAATGAAAACTAGAAATGAGAGGATATTGTTATTTTTCTTGACATTATTGGACCAAGAAATAGCTCAATGCACAGTGAAGGTCCGACAGAAATATATCATGAAAAAATGGGCTAGGGCTCTCTCTACCTATATGTATTTAATAGTATCTGTGTATTGGAAATTGAGTGTTTGAAATCTAAATTATCATGTATCTTGCATAAATTATTCAAACTTGTTTCTTATATTGAAGCAGAAGCAATTTTTAACCCCGCAGAATGAGTATGCTCATGTATCGATGCATATCCGTTGCATGTATTCTGCGCCGGATTAGGAGTTTTAAAAAAAAGAGAGAATTATGTAGAGTAGAAATAAAAAGCAACCAGATAAAAAACTCATGTAAATTGATATTATTTAAGAAAATATGTGTTGTACATTATTAGCATTTCTTCATTTATAGAAGCACGAGATAGACGAATTTGAAGATTAAAGGAGGAGGAGAAATTGATGCTTCAAAATTTTGTAAAGTGTACATTAAGCGATTTTTGTGTATGTAGAAAGAGTACTCATGTGTATTTGTTGTACTATGACATTGTTACTGTATTTAAACGTGCTGCCTACACGGTGAGGTACTCACATGCATTTTTTAATGTACAGATGAAGGAAGGAGTCTGGAGATTAAATCATTTTTGTTTTGTTTTCATGCCAAAATGTCACCTTTCTCTCGTGGTAATTTCACTAGCGATTTTATCATTGATTTATCCTGACTCTAATAAAAACTAGATATCAACAAAATTATTGATCCGTTTTGTGAAGTTGTGTTGATTTTGTTACGAGTGGAGTTGAATTTGAGTCTCTTGATGGGTGAGAAGCATAGAGAGAGAGAGAAATAGAGGGAGAAGGGGAAGAGAAAGAATAGGAAGGGAGAGAAAGAGAGACGAGGAGAGAGGAGAAGAGAGAATGGGAAGATAAGGGAGAGAGAGGGGGAAGAGAGGAAAGGAGAGAGGGGGGTGAGAAGAGGGAGAGGGAGAAGAGAGATTATAGGAAGAGATGGAGGTGGAGACAGAGGGAGAGGGGGAGAGAGAAGAGGAAGATATATCTGAGAGAGGAGAGACAAACGAGAAGAGAAGGCCAAGATCGGGAAAGAGGGGGAGAGAAGATAGAGACAGGAGAGGACATAGGGACAAGAAAGGGAGAGAGAGAAAAGCAAATATCATATTCAACTTGGAGGTACATGTACAATCAAACCTGTCTTTGATAGTAGCCACCTCTCTATAGAGGCCACCTGTGCATAGTGGCCACAAATTTGATCTCCCTCAAGAAAGAAATGTATGCCGAGGAACCCGTCTACAGAGACCACCTGCCTACAGTTGCCCGTTTCCCCTGAGTGACCTTTATAGACTGGTTTGACTGTACTTTGAAGCTTACACCGACCACATAAAAAGTACAAAACACAACATTATTTATGGTTAAAGGGATGTATCCCACGGTCGCAAAGCCATTTAATCATAAATAATCCATCTCACATATACAAATATCATGGCATCGGTCATATCATGGGCACAAAGCGAATAAGCAGCCTGGATTTAATTAAGTTTCTAATTATTTCAACACTGATTAACTTATTGGTAATTGATTAACAACATAGGTAAAATGTTATACTTTTTTAAAATCTTGGTCTAATTCATCTATCTTCGATCTACATTTATGCATTGTCCCTAATCAAGAGCATTTCAAATTAGTCTATACTGTAAATGATAATTATAATTCTATGTTAATTCACTGTACATATGTTATTATAGAGGTGTTGTGGTCAAGTGGATACGTCGCCGGACTGTCGATCACAAGGTCCTGGTTCGAGTCCCGCCGCCGCACTAATGTCCTTTGGCAAGACATTGATCTACATTTGCCACACTCCACCCAGGTGAAGTAAATGGGTACCTGGTAGGAATTTATTCCTTGAAATGCTAGAGCCAGGGTAATAATCGGGGAGCGCCAGGAGGGTCAAATCTGACTGACATGAGCGCTATACAAGAACCCATTATTATTATTATTTGTCACAATGTTGATGTCCCCCCTCCCCATCCTTAAAAGGTAGAATCAATTAATACATGTACTTTTAATAATATACATCCTTGTCCAGACAACCATTCCACATGTTATGGTTTACCTCAGTAAATTTTGATTCTGAGCCTTAAAAATTATGTACTGTAATATGCATGAAAAGAAAGGGCAAACATTTCAGCATACACTGAATTTTTGTTGCAGCAAATTATTAATAGTCACATAATATCACACAAATATAGTGCAAAACTGTATTCTATTTCACATTTACCATAATATGGGGCTAGGGTAGCATTAATAATACAGTCAAACCTGTCTATAGCGACCGCCCAAGGGAAACAAAAAGAGTGGTCTTTGTAGACAGGTTCCTTTAGTACATGTTTCACTGAGAAACAATTTTCAAGGGAAACAAAAAATGTGGCCCTTTTAGACAGGTGGTCACTAAAGCAGGTTTGACGGTTCATATTTCAGACAATGACCCTTCACGTACACCTGTACATTATTGGTGCATCGAAACATAGTACATGCATAACATGCACTCATACATTTAATTATTGTTTTATTACTTCAACATCTTCTTACTATTGGATTTTGGCTTACAATTACTGCACTACCAGAAACCATTCGCAAACATGAAACTCCAGCAAACTGTCAAGGATGGCCATTTTCATGAATAGAAGCTTTTTATGAAATGCAAAATTAGACTTGTGTCGATCATGATTCAATTATTTCCCAGAATGAAACTGTCACCATCAGAACCGCTCACAAATTTTGCGAACATTTCATGTGTGCTAATGTTTTCAGTTTTACAGAATGCAGCAAAATTTGGCATTTTACACAATCAGTCCACAGGTAAAGAGGGCAATATACAGTGTACTTCTATACTTCTAAAATTTACTATTATTACAATATATTGAGGTTAGTATGGTGCATCAACTTTTACTTGGTTGACACACTAAAAAATATCTAAGTGCAACATGACTAAAGTTTTTTCAGAATTTCACCAAGTATAGGGGGCTCCGGTCAGAAGCTGGCCACTGAAGTCTAGATCAATATTCCTCCTATACAATAAATACTGGCATTTCAACTAGCATTTGTATCACAAACTAGAATTATTGAATCTCTATTGAAAATAAACTTTGTCTTTTTTTTCCTATAGAAAATTTTTCTATATACAAGTACACAGCAAACTAAAAAAAAAAAAGAGTATCAGAATTTGGCATAATAATGAAGATTGTTTGATTTTGTAAAATTTGTTCACAATATCTAAACTGTAGCTCATGCTATACAGTAAGAAACCAGGAAAACCAGATTCAACCAGCTGGTATATGAGTTTATTTTTTATATTATTTTTCACTCACATTGCATGTTTAATGCAAAAAGTTAAAACTTAAAAATGATGAAATGGTGCAATATATTTTTTTGACCCACTGCACACTATACAATCCAACTGATCCAATTCTAAATATTATGAAAATTTCAATTTGACTATTCAATGACTATTCCGAACCTTGATCAATAAGATTTCATATTTTTGAATGTTTTCATAAAAGATAAATGGCAAATTCTTCAAATTTTGGATCACTGTCAGAGTATACAGTGTGCAGTAGGCTTTATCCCACTGAAATAAAGAGGGTGCACCTTCCTTTGAATACAAATTATGATGTTGAAATATTAATAAATATGCAAAATATGGTTTGGTAATTGTGCTAAAATAGGGAAATACATGCTCATTGGAGGGAAAATACATGTACAGGTACATAAATCAAACAGTGGGACAAAAGTGTGCATGACTGAAATTTAAACCATACATGTGATTTCAGCATTTTTCATGAAAATATAAAGCTCTCAACAACCTGAACCACACATTTTAATTAACTTACAGCGGTGCAAAAAATGAATGCGTAAGATTGAACAAAAAAATAAAGTAAAAAGAAAATACATTTTGTTTCAATTTGTCAAAAGTGGCTGAGGAAACAAACACAAACAGCCAAGCACATTCAGCCTTTGAGATAATACTGTTAAATATCTACATGTAAATCAGCATACACAGAGAAGTGTGTATGCTTCATGCAAGCATAGCATATAGCAGAGAGAGCTCATGCAATGCAGTTTAAAACAAACAAATTAAGCATAAGAAAATAACCACAAAATATAATATATAATCACTAATGTTATGTTCACTATAATCAAGTTGTTTAGTTACAAGTATACAATTACCAATTCACCAAAGCTATTATAATGATTCTTTCTATTGATTATTATAATTTTCTCTATTTTTAAAATTCCATGTTTTCATAAATATTCTGTGTCTTATTTACATATGATACATGCACTTTTGGAATAAAACGGATGCACACGTGACACGAACCCTGAATGAACACAAACATATATTCAAATTACATATTTGTACGGTATTTCTTCCACAAGTACACGAACATGCAAACATGTATGATATATTTTGAATGTCAATATATTCTGAATGTACATGGTCAATATATATAATATATAAACATGTAAAACAGCAACATTGCCAGCACTAATGCACATGTTCTACAGTGAATATGACACGGCTAAATTCCCCTGAAGCTAAATCAAAGAAATATTGACCCACATATTCCCGTACCTGTACACTAACAGTGTGTATATAGATGCATATCCGGATCAAAATTTACAAAACACATCATGTTTCCAGAAAGAATACAAAATATGAATGTGTAAATAAGAGTTCTCCTTTTTATATAACTGTATACACAACTTATCTCGAACCAAAATTTATAGAACAAATCTCTGTGAAAAAAATAAAATATGCAAATCCAAAAGTACCTGAATGTAAAATTATGCAGTTTCTCACATATGAATGTATCAGCAAAATTGCCAGATACTAAATTTGTAAATCACAGTATTATTTGGAGTTAGAAGATTGATACATGTAAAGTTGATAAAACAGATTTTTACTTTTCATTTAGCAAAAGGTACTCTTGCAACTAATTAAGAAACAAATTCTTCCTTTTTTGTCTTCTTCTTAATAAATCTTTGCCCATACTTGTGAATAGCAGAGATGGAATACAAAATTACTTCAAAGGTGAAAACGAAACACAAATTTAAGATTTTAGTTATGTCTTGAAAAAAAAGAAAAATTCCTGTCTATGTAATAATTTTCTGCTGTCATTGAACAAATTTCTTCCTTTTTTCTTCTTCTTAATAAATCTTTGTCCATACTTGTGATACAAAATTACTTTAAAGGTGAAAACGAAACACATATTTTAGATGTTATAGTTATAAATGTCTTGAAAAAAAGAAAATTCCTGTCGAGATTATAATTTTCTGCTTTCATTGAACTTTAACACGGCAAAAAAACAAGAAGAGTCTGATGGTAAGCAAATTATTATTAGGATTACTTGGTAACACTTTTACATCCTACTCATAGAAGGGGATTTCTTCAAATACTGATATTTGTGTGCACGTAGGGAAATTCCTACAGGTCAACGAGAGAGAAATTTAAAAATATTACAACAATTTTGCAGTACTTTTCAGGGATATTGTTAAAAATTCAGTGAATATGATTTCAACTTCAAGGTGAAATTATCATAACTTATGTCTAAATATTGAACCAAGTAATTGCACTGACATATAGTCTGCCTCAAAGAGAATGACATCAACTCTAGGTAAAATTATAAGAGTTGACACCCTTCTAACTTTGAGTAAACATATCAGGTCTTGCAGAATAAGTCTTGCAGATTGTGGAATACACACATTTTGGAATACACACAAACAAGGTTGATGGTAGAGAACACACCATGACACACGTCAACTTCCACAGGACAAATCTCTGGTCTACAACACACATGGCAAGTAAACATATTACATGTACCTGATGGAAAACGAATAGCTCGAAGAACCTCACACAAATGTCTCCTCCTCTTCTTCATTCACCGTCAGCTTTACTGTCTCTTCGTCCTCTTCTTCCACAAACAATTCGTCGTCCTCCAATTGGTCTTCTGTCTCCTGTTTAGCGCCTACGTCATCAATATTATCTGCATCTTGAGGTCTAGGAGACCCATTCTCCTGAACCATGGCTGTATCCTTGTTGATCGTTTCTTCAGCTTTGGCTTGACCTGCAGGATGGATCCTTCCCTGGTCCTCTGTAGGACAGTCTTCTTCAACTGCGCAACCTTCATCGGCTTCACCCGTATCGTCTTCTTGGTGTTGCCTCAGGGTGCGATCCTCGGCTCCGTCTCCTGCAACGTCTGGAGTCTCTCCACCTACGACAACCGCAGTGTCTTCCGTGTCGCTTCCATCTCCTGCAGGAGCTTGATCTGATACATCCCCTACCAGTCTTTTATTTGGATCTTGACCTTCCCCAAGAGCCGATGATTCTGCTTCCTGCTCTTCACTTCCCTTCTCGTCCCCTTCCGTCCCTGTGAATGTCAAGGACATCATTGTCCTGGAGGCCAGCGTGTCCAATCCGCTGTCAAACTCCTCGTCATCGTCGAAGTCCACCGCGGGCTCCGACAGACAGCTCAGCGTGTCGGAGATATTGTCAAGGTGTTCGGTCGACTGGAACGATGCCAGTATGGAATGTGGGTCGGGTGCCTTCGCATCCTCGCAGTAGCTCAGAGGCCTCTGCGGAAGCTTGTAGGACCTTGACGGGGACAGATCCATGTCGTCCTTGGAGCGTTGCCGAGGCGACTCACAGTCTCGATGCTGCTTGATGACCAGGTCAATCTTCTTCACCTCCACTGAGAGGTTCCGATTATGACCGGGCGAAAACGGTGACGGCGACGGCGAATCGCTAATGATGGGCGAGGCTTCCGCACCTACCCCCGATTCTCTTTGGCCAAGTTTGGACGCAGACGTCCGACGTTGCTCATGGATCTGGTCGCTGATCTGTTCTAACTTCCGCAGGGCATTTGAATACACTCTCTTTGCACCTGCAACATCCTTCTCTAGCTCACTAACTCTTCTTTTGCGCATCTGAAAACAATTACAAATATTAAAAAAAAGTAAAATTCATCCGATGTTAAACTTTCAATTCACACTGCACATTACTTATTAAGCCTGGTTCAGATATAATTATGATAATTTCTGTATTTTTTAAAGCCCCTCTGCACTAGTTTGACCAGGAGGGATTTGATATACCTGCATGGTCACTGACAGGTGGTTATCTCATCAAATCAGCTCTCAAGTAACATAAGAAAAAAAGGGGACCATGGGGGACCAATGGTCACCAATTAGGCTTGTTTGCTATATAGAGGGCGCAAGTAGCTATAAGTAGTGCAGTTGGGCTTTAGCACATAGGTACAGTGTTATGCACAGGGCCCTTGCTGCACGCAGTTACCATTAATTTACATGTTAAAAACAAACTTGTGGCATTTTCCGGGGGCAGTTTACCGCATCACATCTGCACGAGCCTTCACTCACTATAAAACTTAGGTCATTGATGGTTCATATTTGTAAGTCACATTCATGCCCAGTAATATACAGTATCTATGCATAGACATACAAATATTCAATTCGTAATGTATTATCAATATAACATTCTATCTCAGGCTGTGTATTGTAACCATTATTTTGTCAGGCAAAAATGTAGTACTTGGAACAAGCTTTCAACTGAACATGATTATAAATACATATATTGGCTCTGAACTAAACGAGAAATGTCTTTTCCAGACATATTGCTTTAACAGATGTCCTAGATTTACTTTCAGATCTTTTACCATTTTTATGTCTTCATAATGATTTTCTATCACCGTATTCATAGCTACACTATGTAGAGTATTTGTTCATTGTTGTACTACAGCATCTCAGTCTATGACCAGATCTAGGGCTTTATTAGTGTTCATTGCTATTAAATAACAACAAATATCACTAAGCTCTGATTATTCAGTAAAGAAGTTTAACATAGAGCTTCTACAGATTAGCAGCCTTATCAATATTATCACCATAATCTACTGGTATTAAATATATTAAATAATTGGTATATACACTGTATACCGGTAAAAAAATAAAGCTTACCTCAAGGTTCTGGTTGAATGAAGCTTTCATCTCAAAATATGGCCTGAAAAACAAAACAGATGGAAAAAATTATCAAAAGAGGAAAAATTAGCAAGAATTAATATTAAAATATATGCTGAGAGATTACATAATTCCCAACTCCTTGACACAAGTTTTTTTCATGCTGGTTGCTCATTTTTAGTAAGCTGATTTTTATTTACAGTTAAAAGTCATTCGAATCAAACTGTAAAATACACTAAGAGAATAATTGAGACACGTTCATGAAAGTTATGTTATAGTTTATGCACCAACAGAGCACTCTTTGATAAACGGGTGGATTATATTCGCCTCTAAATGCACAAGAAAAGCTAATCATACCCTCAACCTGGGATGTTTCAATATTACCACGGGTAACACAAAAGGGTGATTTAAAGCCCACTGCACAACTTATAGCTACTTGCGCCCCTCTGTATAGCAAACAATGCCTAATCAGTGACCATTGGTCCACCATGGTCGCCTTTTTCTTATGTCAATTGAGAGCTGATTTGTTGTGATAACCACCTGTCAGTGACCATGCAGGGAGGTCTAATCCCTCCTGGCCAAACTAGTGTAGATAGGCTTTAATCCTTATCTTTAGGGCAGTAATAGAAACTCCTCAAGCATGACCCACCTTGATTTATTGATGGCGGTGCGTAGTGATTTCTGAAGTCTCTTAACCTCCCTCTCTGCATCGTTGAAGTTGGCAGCCGTGCTGAGATGCTCATGTACACCAAGTGTCCTCTCGTTCTCAGCCTCACCAACCTGTACATGGGTTACAATCAAAATTGAAGAGCTTAATTCCAAAAGGAGATAAATCCACTTTTGATGAAAATTGAGTTGTTGATATCAAAACACTGTTCATTCAAAAATGTAATACCTAAATTTTGGGAGCAATTATGAAAAAATGCACCTTCTAATATCACTTTTCCATAGACACCTGTACAAAATCAGGTAAACAATTTCTGTTTTCTCCAAAGTTACAAAAGTGGATTAAGCTCCTTTTGGAATTAAACTCTTAAAGGCCCACTGCACTGCTTGTATCTACTTGCGCCCTCTACAGTGTATATAACAAACAATGCCTAATCGGTGACCAGTGGTCCCCCATGATCCTCTTTTTCTTATATTAACTGAGAGCTGAGTTGATGAGATAACCACCTGTCCAGTGACCTTGCAGGGCAGTCTAATCCCTCCTGTAAACTATGGCAGATAAGCTTTAAAATACAGTCAAACCTGCTTTAGTGACCATCTGTCTACAAAGACCACATGTTCTGTTTCCTTTTCCCTTAGAAAATGGTTTCTCATTGAAATATGTACCAAAGGAACCTGTCTACAAAGACCACCTGTCTAGTTTCTATAAAGACAACAGCTTTTGTTTCCCTTTGAAACATGTACTACAGGAACCTGTCTACAAAGACCACTTTTTGTGTTTCCCTTGGGCGGTCACTATAGACAGGGCTCATGTAAATCAATCAATACATTGTATAACTGTACCTTTTGCACATGGGATCCGGATCAAACTTTCTACATCTTTGTGCTCCGTGGTCAATTTTTAATGTTTTGAGGCTGATGCACACTAGGCTCCTGTCAGTGTCAAAACCCTCCACACTTACCAAATTTCTTACTGCAACCCTGGACCAAACACTAAACCTTATTCTAACCCTAAACCTAAACCTGAGCCTAACCTAAAACCCAAACCCATTTATTTCACAAGAAAAAAACAGAAGTCTGGAGCAAATGTCACTGCAGCAAATGTCGCTGTAGCAAATGTCACTAAAGCAAACAACGCAGGAGAAAATGTGACCAGGGGAGTGTTTCACAAAGACTAAGATTGATTTTAAGTTGGACTTAATTATGGCAGGCTGTTCATGCCACTGTTTGCTCTCATCATTTACTGGCATATGTCTCTCAAGGGACGTACAAATCATGGTCACATATCTACAGAATTTATATTTTGTTGATAATTCATTATTGAAGGAAAAAATATTTTCTAAAGATCATAATGGTAAGAGCAAACAGTGGCATTAATGGCCTGCTATATTTAAGTCCAACTTAAAGTCGATCTTAGTCTTTGTGAAACACCCCCCTGAGAAAATGTTGCATCAACTAACGAACCTTCATGGTGGCATGGTTGAGCATCTCCTGCCAGTTGGCATCGAAGGTGCGTCCATCCTGGAAGAGGCCCTGCTCGGCCAGGTCCACCATCTCCTTGGCCGCGGTCAGCATGCTACATGCACGGTCGAAGCGCAGGGCGGCCTTCTGGGTCTCCTGCTGGAGCTACAAGTGGAGTGATAACCATCAAGAGAATAGAGTAAGGGCTTAGATACATGTAAATGGTTATCAGCAGAATTGTCACTGATTTTGGGCATTTGTCATTGAAAAAAAGGCCCTGTGAAACGGGTCCCTGAATGATACCGATAAACTGTATGGGTGGTATTCCAGAAAACTTTAGTCCATGGTTTAATCCACTGACTAAGTATGGAATGCAAAGTGTCCATATGAATATATTTTTGAATAATTTGGTATTTCCCTAAATTACCATGATAACATAATAATATCAGTTATATTCACTGTTGTTTATCAATTGTGTTATTAAATTCTATTTTAATTCAGTGACAGATTGAATTATTCAAAAACATTTTCATATGGACAATTGGCATTCCATACTTAGTCGGTGGATTAAACCATGGACTAAAGTTAGCCCGCTTTCGAGAATACCACCCTATATGACATATGTATCATATCATGTACAGTGTAGATGTATTTGAATGTAGATGTTTTTCTACAGGGTGTTCTTGTACAGCAGTATTTTGTGCTGAAGTACTCGCCCTGTATTTGAAATAAAGCACTAATAAATAATAACAAATAAACAAAATAAAGTAGTAACGCCTGAATGACAAAATCATGGGGTTCTCTTCATCTAGCACAATATGGACACTGCCAACATGAACTGTACGTATTTTGAAATGATGGGGGTCACATCAAATGAGGTTGAATTATTGGCTCACTTGTATTATCTTTGAGATCTATCCTAAGAATGAGATGATAACATCACGGAGGGAGGCTTGTTATATGAATCGGAGAGAGGTGTGACCTTCAACCTTATCAATCAAATTTTCATATTGATATACCGTACATACTGGGAAGCAATTTGGGAACGATTTATCATTGTTTTGTCTGACCTACATGTACCCTTTCAATGCTTTGTTCAGATACCGGGTACAAGGGTTTTTAACTGCTACTGTTTACCAAAAGAATGGAAGTAGACATGCCTTTATGGGTGGGAAGAAAATATTCAAAGAGGGCTGCAGTTTTTTGCAAACAACTCATGGTTCAGTATCAGAAAAAAGGGTGAAATGTTCATGCCATAATTTTGATACTACAGTCATATAGCGACCGCCCGAGGGAAACACAAAAAGTGGTCTTTGTAGACAAGTGGTCTTTGAAGACAGGTTCTTTTTATAGTACCGTACATGTTTCAATGAGAATCCATTTTCAAGGGAAACAAAAAAGGGGTCTTTGTAAACAGGTGGTCACTAAAGCAGGTTTGACTGTGTATCACTCACTTGTGGTCACTTTTATTTGACCTTTTGTAAATTCACAAAATTTAATATACAATTTTTTTTTAAAATCCCCAAACTCATATACATGTACAAGGTTGAACACAAAAAAATAACAAAGGAATCAGGTAGTTAGAAGGAGCCAAAATAATAGAGCTCTGGAAGTTTTTTGTCTCCTTTTGAATATTAACTGTATTTACCTCTTTAGCCTTTTGCCTCGCCTCATAGTAAGGCCGTGCCTTTTCTATCGCGCTTCCAATTTTCTTAGAGACATCATTGAGATTGTGAGTTGACTCCGTAAGAGCCTGACGAAATGTTGCTCGTACTTCCTGTAGTAGCAAAGTTAATAATGAACAATAATAACAATTATATTAAAGACTATCAAGGATTACAACAGATACGCTACTGGTGCTACTACTACCACTACCACTACTACTACTACTACTACTACTATGACTACAACTACTACTACTACATGTACTATGACTACTACTACTACAACTACTACTACTACTACTACTACTACTACTACTACTACTACTACTACTACCTCCTCCACCTACTACTACTCTACTACTACTTCTACTGGTCAAAATAATAATGATGATTAAAATGATGATGATAAGTTCTGATAAGTAAAGGTAGTATTAGAAATATTGCTCTTTAACTGTGCTCATATTCAAAATATGATGAGAAACAGCTGACCATTTTTGGATTAAAATTTCATGCCATATTTATGTTTCTTAAAGTCCCATTTCGGTGTGCATGATGCTTGTGGTTTTCAGCAAGACAGGGTCGTCATTTTGATGCTTCCAAAACATCACAGTAAAAAAACAATTCTCATGTACATGTCCTACTACATAATCATCTTTTCCTTATTGATTTAGACATTTTCTTTCACAATGCTATCACATGACCAGAATTCAACTAATGTACATGATCATGTACATGTATAAGTACAGAGTGATAGGAACACAAGCAATTAAAGAAATTACATACTGGTCATAAAAGGTACATTAAAAACTATTAATCACATACATGTAAAAAAGAAAGTTATTCATTTTCAGTGCATCTACATTCTGTTGTGTTGTACTGAATGTATCCCCATGTGAAAATACATGGCAGATCAACTGAACCGACAATAATGTGTATAGATTATTAGGGATAGATATAGTACACAGTAAACCAGTGACACATCTTGCATCTTATCTTTTATGCAATCTGATATGATTGAATAATTTTAGAATGTTTAGTGATACTGGCTTTATATGACTCTTGTCCTATAGGCCTATTCTTACAAACAGTGTATATACAGTATGTGTTTTTAATTAAAAGTGAAATACAATCTAATTAAATGTCTCTATTTGGTATGGATACTGCAGCTATTCCATGCTAAGTACTATGTAAATAACTTACATCGAGCTGTAGTTCCAAGGAGTTGATTTGGTCTGTAGATGAATTCAATCTCTCAAGTTCCTCCTAGAAAATGAAATCAATGCAGGAAATTAAATATAAAAAGGACATAATTACAGTTTCAATGTACCAATGGCCATTACATATCAATTATCAGCAACAGAGTAAACATGTGGTCATACAAATGTAGACTGAAACTAAAAAAAATTGATAAGAATTATTTTAATCGTACATGTGTTGTTGGTTATCTTTTTTGCCAAATATGTGCATTTAACTTTTAAGATTAAACATGAACATCCATCAGAAGTTCTTAAACTGACACGTAGGCTCCTGAGGAGAGAATAATAACCAAAATAACAATACTACTACTACTCTTTTCATTGACTATTGTGAGTGTTTTTTTTGTAGTTTTTGAACTTCATTAGTACTGTATTAGGGGTATAAACAAACATTACAACAAAACAAAACACTACCACAAAATACCTTTTTTGTCAAGAGCATGATAAACATTAACATACGGTATGTACATTAGGCCCATTTCATGACTTGTGGCTGCCCTGCATGCAATCGGACGAAAGCAAAGCAAGGATATTTATGTGACCAAAAACCAGAATCATTCACTGATTTGCTTAGCAACTTCAGACTAAACACAGGAGTGTTAGAAAAATCAATATTTCTGCTTACAGTGGAAATGCAGCTACATGTACATGTAGTCTACATGTTCATGTACATTACATGCCCAAGTATAGTTGTACATGTTTGTAGCTTTGTGTAAGTATTTTAAGACATTTCAAAATCAAATGTTCAAACCCTGCATCTTGAAGAGAAAAAGTGCATTACTGTGTTCTTTATGAACATAGGCAGAGGTACATGTTGAAAAGAAAAATTATATCAAATAAGCTAAGGCTGTGAAGGGTAGTCGAATGCTCGAGTACCCGCATGGTTGACAACTACTCGGGTACGATTTCTCGTACCCGAATATTCGGCCGCAATTTTTTTTTTTTTTTTAAATGTCCAGGCCGACGCTTACCCGTGCCTGGGTGAGCGGCGGCCGCTGGCATGGTGCCGTCGGTAAAAATGTTTCCCAACTCGAGCACTGTCAAACTCACCACTCAGAAACTGGGACCAAATGTCTGGATTTCTGCTTGGACTTGGAGGAAAATGGATCATTCTGCCATCCTTGGTTTTTAAAACAGCATTGTTCACTGTTATTATTATTATTAAATCGGCGCCTTCAACTGCAACTCAAAGTAAAATTGCATGCGTTTTCGGCGACAGAACTGGGATACTGCTCCAGTGGTATGTACGGTGGTGGCAAAAAAAAAAAAAAAAAAAAAAAAAAAAATCAAAAAAATTATTAAAAAAATTTAAAAAATTCTAAAAAAAAACATGGCGTCCGAATACTCGAGTATTCGCTTGTAAGCATGGGAGTGTACTCGAGTACCTCATTACACTGTTGTGCACAGCCTTAATATCAAAACCCATCATCGTGCTGTTCAAGCGAAAAACTGTTGCCACATATACTTTTTTTACTGAAATAAATTTATTTTAATGGTCATGGATATGAATACATTTTGTATGAAATGCTACATTTTTGTTATCTTACATGTAATATACATGAACATACATGTGATGTAAATCACTGTATTAATCAGCAACTAACATATTCAACATGAACTCAAATGGTGGATTTACAAAAAATCATAAGGAACTTCCAAATAATTTAACTTGAGAACATTTTTTTTTCTCTATGAGGTTTAAATTTCCTCTTCCTGACTGAACAAAGAACCATTCAAATCCCATCAAATGCTTCTCTTTCAATTAGGCCTGTCCTCATCAGCTCAAGATTGCCAAATATCCAGCTATTTGGACTATCCCGATCACAAATTATCCAGTTAATTTGTGTCATCATCAGCCCAAAGTTACAATTAGCGAGATATTTGGTCGAGAAAATCATCCCAAGATATCTTGGGCTAGTTTGCAAAATATCCTGCTATTTGTCCGGTGCGTCTTCACCAGCCAGAGGACTCGCACTATGCGCGAACTCTGAGCAAAATATCTCAAGCTAATTTCTAAAGCTCAAGTTTCAAGTTTCGAGGTCAAGTCTTGAGCTGATGAAGACGTGATTTGTAACTTCTGGATTATCTCCAAATCAGAAATATCGAGACATTTAGCAATCTCGAGCTGATGAAAACAGGCCTACTTACATGTAGTACACAACGTAGTACCACACACATGTACAAGTAATGCATACTTTATGATAAAATCAAAGCGGCTGTTTCCTGTAATCAGAGCATACCTTTGTTATGAGGTGGCTAATGATATTGTCTATAAATTGTATGAGTGTATGCAAGAAAATGCTGAACAAATCAATACTGACCCAATTCAAATATAGATCAATACCGAAATAATCCAAATATAGTAAGTATGGGTGCTTCAATGGATAGTTACTTAATATAGTTAATAACAAAATTATTCATATTCCTTGTAAATTTGATTTTTGTCTGTGTTTACAAGTCAAAGGCGGACTAAAAAATCAAAGGCGGACTAGATGAATTACATGTAGGGCTTTTATTGAATACTTTCTAAGATTTAATATATCAGGTTTTAAAGAAGCATAATTCTGGAAAAATCAATTTTTCACATGCTAACATTTGTTTACAAAACTTGGTAAAGGATAAATGTCAACTTTAGCATTTCGTCAGAGCATGATAAACATGTTATGATTTAGATGAAATAAAACATACATGCATACATGTACAGTAGTTTAGTTGTTAACTGAATCTGTCAAATGTAAGTTTTCAACATGAAAATGCAAATAGCTGATAAGAATTAAAAGTAAACACATTTTACTTTTATTAGCTGTTCATGTTCGTAGTTTAATACAAATACAAATCAGATATACATGTACATGTATATGTTTTATTTCATCTAAATAATAACATGTTTATCATGCTCTGACGAAATGCTATACCGGTAGTTGACATTTATCCTGTTCAATTCAGAAACAATCATTATTGACTTGAATGCTGTCTAGTACATGTAGGCTATGTACATGCATATAATTCTCAATTGAAATCTACTACCGGTAGATTTAAGTTTGATAAGAAATAGGCTTGAACAGTGTAGGCTACATTCTCCTTTGTCTCTTTAAGGCCTGTTATTTTGGTAAATCCTATGTGACTCACATCCCAGTGTTTTAAGATAATTTGAAGCGAGGTAAATGTCACTAAGGCTTTAAAGGGAAAGCCCAACCTTGCATTGTATTGAACTCCAACAAAATTTGATGAACGGAGTATTATGTTTGAGAACAATTAAACAGGGGCAAACAGTTAGGTTGGAACACATTTGAAGGAGTTGGAAGTGGAAGTTTTTGAGGGATCCACATTTTACAAGCTCTGCTTTTCAGTGGATCCCTCCACTTCCACAAGTTTAACTTAAAAAATAAAAAAGAACTATTAATTTATACTGGATATTTATGTATACATGTAGTCTACATGTAGATCTACTTTCTATTTCATAACTTTAAACTATGTAAAATGTATTATTTAATTATTGAATATTGAATTGTACATGTATATCTGATTTCTGTTGGAAATGAAAAATAAAACTGAAACTGAAACAAGATCCCTTCTCAATTCTGCTACTGAAGACGATTATTAAAATGAGAAAATGGAGATAGTTTACATTACAATACATGAATGCACATAGACTTCTAATAAGGATAAGTAAAAATACATTTGATTTTTTTATTTCTCGTTCCCTCCCTCTTCTTTTTTTCCTCCCACCTTCTAAATTTCGTCATGTGCAGTTAGATCTAGGTCTAGGCCTCATTGCTGGACTTTGTGAAAAGAAAGAACAAAATGAAATTGAAGAAGATGAATCTGAAGTAGACAGTCTACAGCTCAACACTGCACTCCTGGTGGAGTAAAACGAGTTGGAGTGTGTGTTAGGTGAAATAATAAAATAATGGTATTGAAAATGCTGTTTTACACGATCCTTGAATACGATGGAATCTTAAATGTTAACTGTCAATGCTATAGTACGGATGTTTTTAAATTGTCTTTAAAAAATGTTGATGCTAATCTAGATCTACACTACTAAAAGTAACAGCTACCATGGCTACCATTAAAAGCATTACCAACTCTTTTCTACACTTCCTTGAGTCTGGTTTATTTATGTTTTATCGGGATGTAACTTGCGCTTGCATCTCATCTCTAACTTGAATACAAATGCAAGCCATTTACTCAACTTTCAAGTGAATTCACATTTTATTTCAGCTAAGCAAGAATCATGTCTAACGCAACGGCAGTGTCTAAAAACACGACAAATTTTCATCTCACAGAGCAGAGCTGAATTAGATCTAGAGCACCTGTCCGCGTAAACCTGTAGCTGCGACTTCCATGGCGCAGAGCCAGTGGAGTAGCTGCGGCCACCGAGCTCGAGCTGTGAGCAGAGCTGCGATAACACGGCTCGGAAAAGCTACGTTCTTAGTGACGAAGAACACATATTCGCAATAAAACATACCTCGTTTGAAATTAGAAGTGCATTCAAAATCACTGAAACAAATTTAAGAACCATATCAAAGCTACAAAGAGCAAATTTTACCTTTATTCTGGGATCTATTTCCTCCTCACATAGCTCAGCCATACTAGCGACCATCGATAGCACGACAGTCGACCTTCTTCAGTGAGATCGGATAATGATGTTGTTGGTGTTGTTGTTGTAGGTTTAGATGGCGCTCTTCAATCTTCTAAGATTGTCTGCCCCACAAACTTTCCATATTAATTACAAATGCAATTCAAGACGATTTCTTAAAATCTTTTGATTTCTGTGCCAGTTCATTGTTTTCTTTCGGCATCGAATATCCAGTTTCATTCGTGGGTTTTACCTGTTTTTTGCAACATGAAAGGGTAGGGGGTATATTGGTTTACTCATCTATACTAGTAGTGCATTATTGTCCTTTTCACATTCTATTTCTTTTCGATTTTGTCCATTTCTTTCTTTCTTTTTCTTTTTTTATAAATCTTATTCTTTTTTATAACTCATATAATTTGATAACTTTCTGTATAAGATTCTATGTTTCGTCATATTCAAAAGCATGCAGAGAGTTGGCATTACCTTTCTTTCTTCGTCTTTTGATATGATGTTTCTGGAGTATGACATTTTTCACATTATCCATCTATATTAAAAATGTCAGAGGTAAAAATGTTTGAGGTAATGCTACGGTCACAAAGGTTCGTACGAACGATAAGGCCATGTAAACAAATATACATGTTTAGTGTCCCCGCCCGCTTCCTTTTTGGGGGCCGCCTCCTTTTTTTCTTTTTTTAAAATTTTAATTTTTTTTTTTTTATTTATTTATTTTTTTTTTTAATTTTTAATTTTTTTTTTTTTTTTTTTGAAAGAAGAAAAACACTGCTAAAATGGATCTATTTCTGATTAAAAAAAAAAAATTAAAAAATGTTGGCGGCCATCTTGAAAAATAGCCCGAATGTCAGGGAAAATGTACCGAGCGACCATTTTGAACGGCCATTTTGAAAAAAAAAAAAATAGAAGGGCCTCCTCCTTCCTATTTTTCGAAAAAAACAGGACGCTAAACATGCTTTTTTTTATTTGGCCTAATTTCGTACGAATCTCCCTGTTTTCCATTGTCTTCCCGAATTTCAATTGTCTGAAAATCGTTCGTACGGCGTTCGTAGCAGTTCGTAATGGCATTTGTGACCGAGGTTTTAGGGAGAACATATCAAGGAGGTTACGGTTCTATGAGGGCTTCTTTTCCGAACTGGAGCTACAATAATGTGTGTGGGAGTGTCAGTTTTTAAATGAAATCTTGAAATGATGCTATTCTACGGTAAAGAAATAACATGAACATTCTGTTGAATAACATTACTGCCCGTTTCAATTTCTAATCGAAAGGAAAACCTGTGGCTACATGTGGACCCACCTTCTTCATCACGTCTTTTTTCTGTAACTTTTGCAATTTGTACTTTGACCCTCGTAACGAATGCTGAATTATTGTTTTGTCATACAGACAAAGGCATGTGAACTCTATTATCAAAATAAATCAAACAGTCATTTCACACTGCTTGTCAAGGCACTCGCCAACAGGTCGCCTTCTCGTCGCATGGTTTATGTAATTTAGCCAAATCAAACTTATTTGTTGTTTCTCGTCCTATACTCCAGGCGCGGATCCACGGGGGGGGGGGGGGGGGGGGGGGGGGGGGGGGGGGGGTAAGGTCACCTTTTTAGGTCAGCCATTGTCATATTTATTTTATTATTATTATTTTATTTTATTTTTAAAACTAAAAATGTTAATATTTTTTTTGGCCGGGGGGGGGGGGGGGGGGGGGAGAGGCACTTCCCTGTTTTTCAGTACATTTGGGGCGATTTTAGGGCTAATTTTAACATATTTTCTTTTGGCCGGGGGGGGGGGGGCACGTGCCCCCTGTATCCGCCACTGAAGTATTGTACTGCAAGGTTCTGGAATCATCAGATTTTGTTTTGTGCTTGCCCCGGGCGCGCCCCGGACGCGAATTTTTTTTCCGTACTCGAGAGAGCAAAAATCCCATGTGCGCATGCGCGTGGACTTATGATTTCTCTGCTACTTCCCATACGAAATGTACATGTATTCGCATGTACTGTGCACGATTCGCGTTCTACGAGTAAACGATGGCATAGTAGTCTTCAAACACAGACTCTGATTTGCCAGTTTGACAAATCAATATGCGTATGTGTCGCGATGTGCTTATTCAAGTCTGTGTAGTTGTATGATTCAGACCCAGTAGTGCATATGGAAATACATTGCAACTTGTATAGAATGGTATAGTAGTCTGCAAGCACAGACGCTAATCTGACAGTTTGACAACATACTAGTAGTGTGCTGAGAAGTACTTTATTCAAGTCGCCAACTTGTATAGAATGGTATAGTAGTCTGCAAGCACAGACGCCAATCTGACAGTTTGACAACATACTAGTAGTGTGCTGAGAAGTACTTTATTCAAGTCTGCGTAGATGTATGATTCAGACCCTACTGGTGCGTGCGTTAGAAATGCATCTCAATGTGTAGAGTGTAGTATAGTAGTCTGCAAGGACATAATAATATATTGTGTATTGATGAGTAGTGATTTTATGCAAGTTTGTGTAGTTTAATGATTCCAGACCCCATGGTAGGCCTATGTATTGTGCCACTGCTCTCTCACACTCTTTCTCTCTCTCTCTCTCCATATCTCTCTCTCTTTCTCTCTCTCTCTCTCTCTCTAGCCCTCCCTCCAGTATGCTCGCACTCTCTGTATTACTTTTATTTATAATCATGGTCTGCTGAGAGCCAGAAGGATGTTAACTCTTAACACAACGAATGCCCTTCTGGCTCTGAACAAACCCACACACCATGAGCTAGAGAGAGAGAAAGAGAGAGAGAGAGAGAGAGAGTGAGAGAGCAGTGGCACAACACAGAAAACTACGAAAACTTGAATAAAAGCACTACTCAATACACAATAGGCCTATATTATTCTGTCAAACTGTCAAAGGAGAGTCTGTGCTTGCATACTACTATGCCACTCTATAAGTTGAGGTGCATTTCCAATACACGCACCAGTAGGGTCTGAATCATAAAACTACTCAGACTTGAATAACACTATTTTGTCAAACTGTCAGATTAGCGTCTGTGCTTGCAGACTACTATGCCACTCTGCAAGTTGAGATGCCTTTCCAATACACGCACCAGTAGGGTCTGAATCATAAAACTACACATATTTGAATATAAAGCACTACTCAAGACACTATGTTGTCAAACTGTCCGATTAGCGTCTGTGCTTGCAGACTACTATACCATGCTATTCAATTTGGGATGCATTTCTGTAAGCACTAAAATGTCTGAATCATACAACTACTCAGACTTGAATACTAGTACTATTGCTACGCACGATATATGCGTAATTGTTTTGTCAAACTGGCAAATCAGAGTCTGTGTTTGAAGACTACTATGCCATCGTTTACTCGTAGAACGCGAATCGTGCACAGTAGATGCGAATACATGTACATTTCGTATGGGAAGTAGCAGAGAAATCACAAGTCCACGCGCATGCGCACATGGGGTATTTGCCCTCTCGAGTACGGAAAAAAAATTCGCGCCCCGGACGCATATTTTTTATTTACACGGCAGCGAGGGGAATTTCTCAATTAATTCCAATGAAACCGCTCGCGACGAGTCTAGACTCCCCCCCCCCCCACTCCGGGAACGGAGGGACCGCATGCGTGTTCCCAAAATCTCCGGCTCGTAACAAAAGAAAAAGGTCTACCCGTAAAAGGGGAGGGGGGGGGGTGGTGGTGCTGAAAAGGCTCGTATAACAAAAGAAATAGGTCTACCCGTATTGACTTTACACATCGGACTTATGCTGAAGGGGGGGGGGGGGTGCTGGGAACACTCATAATTATGCTTACCCTAAATAACACTGAGTGGGGGGGGGGGGGGGGGGGCGGGGTGCTTGCCCAACAAATCAGAACTCGCCATATTCGAACCGGGTCGACAGGTAGGAGCTAACTCTCCTGATCAAGGGCTCTAGAACAGAAAGTAGGATGCCGCCCTCTCGATCTTGCTTTAAGCAAATCGATGCTATTAAGGAATTTATTTAGTACATTTTTGTTTCTTCTCTTTTATCATTCTGACATGGACACAGGAGGCAAAAAAAATGTGAAAAGATGACGATACCACTCACATTCTACCTTCTCCCCTCACTCTGTTGCCTTGTTTACTCGCATTTCATGGACCTCATCATGACCAATGCCCCTACCCACCCCCCCCCCCCCCAAACCGGCGCCCCTCAACGGCTAAACTAGACCCATGCACCACCACAGATTAATTTATTAATTACTATTTTTTCTTTTCCCCCTAATATATCTTTATTAATTTATCTCCTTTGATTTTAATCTATGATTATTTTTTTGCCATGCTTCTGCGTTATATCTTGCTGTTGATGAGTAGCGGTGTAGTGTGAATCTATCCGTTGAGGGGGCACTTGATCAATGTATGTGGTGGTGGGGGGGGGGGGGGGGGTGGGCTTCGGCCTCGAAAAAAAAATGAATTGCGAATTGGCACCACTCAAGTTCTGAAGAACTTTGCAGGAATTTATGAATATTTCACGCATGTCCTATCTGTGATATGTAAACGTTAGCAGTGTCCTATTATTCAAATTATGCAAGGAAACCTGTTTACTATACTTCACTGTCAGACACTATTGACTGACTGACTGACTTCTTTTTTTCCTTTTGTAAGAACATACATACACATTCCAAAGTTCGTATTACCGAAAATGAAATCGGGTTTCGTGATTCCAAAAGTGAAATAGGGTTCGTGATTCCGAAAATGCAATAGGGTTTACACTACCGAAATTGAGCTGTAAAGGTACATGAGCATTATTTCGTCTACATCAATAACCCACTTCTTGTAATGGCCAAAATTAAACTGATTGAATCTTTGCGCAGCATAAAAACGTACGACCATTCGGTACAAGGGTCTGAAAATCAGACCATTACTAAAACGATCACAATCACTAAAGTCGATTCGATAACTAATGCTCGTTATTTTCACATTAAAAGACAATTTCAAGAGGGAAGTTCTAAATTATTATCTTTCAAATGACGTTGGAATCTAAATTTTTCATTTTTTTGGCCTGCAAATGGGACACAGTATTTTTACGCTTTGCTGCCTAAAAATACTCTGGATGTAAAGACAATGCATTTAAACAAACTAACCTTAATAAATCAAAAGTGGTTTATTCAACTCAATTCATATTTACTACTACTATTTAGTCTAATCTTAAATACTTTAAGTTTCTTGACGTGCAATAATGATCATTTCAGTAATAAGTTGATTAAATTGTGAAAATTTAAGTTCAATCTAAAAATAACGTCGAGAGGTCAAATCTAATGGGTAAAATGTGATGACTATTTTGGGAGAGCCTCCAGGCCTTTTCGGGGATACGCTCTGTTGAGATCATCAATGACCGAATCCATTTGGAGATGAGCCCAAAAGTAAAGAATATTATGTTAACCTCATCCAGCAAGCATTCTGTCCACTCCCAAAACGCGCCACTGTGTGCATCCCACTTTAAACAAACCCGTTTTTGATGCCCTAGTGTCGACAAATCTGCTTGGTCCGTGTAAATAAAACAATACCGTACTCATGTGAGTTTATCTCTCTGCTTATACGTACCAGCTATTATAGCTTTGCATAATACTTACTTGAATGGGCTATGAAGTCACTTGAAAGCGATTAACGGCAGGAAACTCCAACCTTAATTCGGATGAGAGAAAACATTTGACTTGAGGCTGAGCAGTCCGAGTACACACTCGAATGAAAGCCTATTTTTATTCAAATACCCTGACGTATTTCATTTGAGAGAAAAGTTCATTAAAACTCCAGCGTTGAGACTCTTCATTCGACACTCTCCCCTTGGACTCCCGGTGATTAGCGGCAGGAAACTCCAACCTTAATTCGGATGAGAGAAAACATTTGATCAATCCGGGTACTCGAAAGAAAGCCCATTTTTATTCAAATCCCCTGACGTATTTTATTTGAGAGAAAAGTTCATTAAAACTCCAGCGTTGAGACTCTTCATTCGGCACTCTCCCTTTGGACTCCCAGTGGACCGGTTGTGATCATGACTCCTTACTTGCTACTTCCACTTTTCCTATCCGCTTTGCTAAGTCTAGCCACTTCTCAAGGTAAGTCAAAATGTAGCCATTTATGTTCACGACCAATTTCCCTATACTTTCTCGATCACCATCGCTTTAAATTTAGGCCTACTTGCTTTAATTAGGTATTGTTTGTGTGCTTCAAACTATTGTGAAGAAGGTCAAGGTATAAGTAAAATGTAGCCATTTATGTTCACGACCAATTTCCCCATGCATACTTTCTCACAATCGCTTTAAAATATACTTGCTTTAATTGGTATTGTTTGTGTGGTTAAAACTATTTAAAAGAAGGTCAAAGACTTGTTTGTGTATAGTGATGCCATAACTTTTATGAAGGTACTTGCAGACCCGAATTCAGGTTTGTCGACAGACCTAGGTTTATGTGCGTCATAATTATGACGCGTTTCGATGCGTTTCAAACCAAGGTTCAGACAAACCTTGGTTCGAAACGCGTCGAAACGCGTCATAATGACGCACATAAACCTAGGTTTGTCGACAAACCTCCTTTGTGAATTCGGGCCAAGATGTTCGACATGAGTCTGAATAGAAACAAATCTTACCACTGTTCGGGCTCTTACACTTTTGTTTTTTACTGCGTATAATCAATTAATAGTTAGATTTTTCATGTATTAGCCATATAGAGTTGGACAAATATCAAACGGAGTTATTTTACAAATACTGTATATTTTTCAAGACATGCAATATTGAACACGCCTCAGCGGCTAGCATCCGTTTTTCGATCTCTCACTTCTGGTTTAAGATCTTGTCGGGAGGAAACAACAAAAGTATAGGTTTAGAACCTGTCTGATTGAATTGAAGGTTTTCATTATCTTTTCGTCCCAGTCAATTGCTGAATTGTCAAAGATGTACAGAAATAAAAACATACAAATATTGTAATTATTCATATAAAAAATAAATCATTAAATGGGTACAGAATGAAGAAGAACGTGTATTAATGCAATGATTTAAATTATTATGTATGAACATGATAAGCGAACTTACATAAAGTGATGATGAACGTGTTTTAATGTAATGATTTTGAGTTATTCTGTATGCGAGAATTATAGGCCTATCCACATTGAATACGTACTAAATTTATTTGTCTAAAACGGAGAAATCGCTTCCAGAGCAAAATCAGTTAAAGATTAAGATCGATGTATGAAGAGAAAGAAGGAGAAAAAAAATCGAATAATTGAGGTAATAGTAATATGGTTGTGTTGGAATTGATATTACCTGACAGAAATAATAGTAATTGACCAAATTCACCTCGGCAACTATGAAATCAAGATAATGAAACAACAATTATCACATATGAATACGATTTTGTCCTCGTTAATAGATTTTTGATAAGCGTCTGTATACATGTGGATTTGATAAGTGTCTGTATGCATGTAGTTATTCATTTATTTATTCAGTTTTTATTTAAAAACAGGGTAGTCTTTTCAGTGCCAAAGGCCTGCTTTTTACAAAAGAGCCCTGTACATACAAAGATTTACAAGAAAAATTAGAATACATTGTAGTTTGAAGCAACTTGAATGTTGTAACAATGTGCTTCAACAAGTCATAGGTTTGAGCCTAAATATATATTTTTTTATAAAGGTTATCACATGCTTAACTTTGGTTGAACTTGAACACTGAGACGTTCACACGCGGCTCCGTCCGTCGTACAGTTTTAAACTGTAAGTTTGCGAAACTTTGAAATTTATAAGCCAGATCCACTTACCACGTCGAGGGTTCACACGGAACCGAAACAACGAGTATTCAAGAGTCATTTATTTGTACTGCTTAAGTGAATTTAATGAGTGTTTTTGCACCATTATTACCAGAACTCAAGCTGGGGAAAGCCTTCATCTTTAACTAAAAGCCGATGTAACCTTGTTAACTGTCCTCACTTCGAGTCAGGACCCCCACTGCTCGTAATTATCGTCGTTTGTCACTTTAAAATTGAAATGCAAGAGAACAAGGCCATCGTGCAGGGGGGGGGGGGAAAAAAGGTCGTAATATTATGATATTCGATTCACATAGTCTTTGCTTCTTAATTTCTCCTCCTTTTATTCCCCTCTCTTTTTCTCTCTCTCCATTAAATTGTATGTGTCTTTCTCTAGAAGAGGGCCGCATCGCCCTCTTTCATGTTGCCTTACCTTCTTTCTTCCCTTTTCTATGTATTTACCAATCTCTATATTTTTCTCTTTGGGGGAAGGGGGGGGGGGAGTGATGCTGTCTCTTTTCGTCAATCCATTAGGGTACGCGTCCCAAAGCTCTCTGGAGCTACGCCCATGTGTGATAATATCTTTTATAGGGGAAAGGTGAGCGTAACGGGAGAGGAGAAAGAAAAAACAATCGCGGCCTTACCATGGTTACAAAGCTTACAATATCCGATAACAGATACTATTTTGAGACAATGCTAAGGACTATCTGTGAGTATTATCTCAAGTTCAATAACCATTAAGGGAACCACTAATGATTTAATCCTGGTGAGAAAAAAATATTGATATGCCTATTCATTGTGATAATTTCCTTTTCTCTCAATTATTACTCCTATCTTTTATCAACGTTTTGAAAATATTTAGCATCATACCAGCCTGGAGACGAAGCCATAGCAACCTTCCATTATTGCATCTTGTCATTCACAAATTGGTAGCATATATTGGCACGAGCTTTAGTGGAGTCATGAATATTCATTATTCCCTACGTCACAGACGTGCGGCGTGCGTACTCTGTCATATACACAAGTCATGTACTAATACACGTACGAGTCATTCGTAAGTATACCTACATTGTACATGTACTTTGCTGCGGAATGAAGAGAATCACTATTTAAAGGACGAATTACTCCATGAAGCCAAGTACGAACAGAGAATTGAAAGCAACTACACTCCCTAATCTAGCTATTTTTGTAATAACATATAGTTAATTTTTTTCATATTAGTTTATTATTTCAAGGCTACATACTTTTAAAGGAACTTTCAAAAGATGATATTGTAGATAAATGAAAAAAAAAGAAAACATGTGCACCCAGCAGTTCAATGCAGTTCATATACCTACATACCCACTAACAAATATTACTTGCATGTTGCTTAAATAGTTCGATAGTTGACAGCCACAGTATTAAGTAAAATAATAGGTGTTTCATGTATTTTAATACTGGTAAGTTGCTCGATAACATGGTATGATTATGGTATGATTCGATATTTATCTCATTAATGAAACCATGTAAAGGCTATAAAGTCTCAAACACACCTACACCATTAAACCGAGTGCCAACACCATTAAACCATGCCCCCAAATTATTTAGTGATCTTCTTTTGGGTATCGAAATACCGAAGTTTTTCCGGGTTTATTTAGGAAAATGAAAATTGTAATACTATAATGTTCGATTACATCACTCAGTATATGATTTGATCCGAGATATATCTCATTATTGAAACCATACTAAGGCTATAAAGTCTCAAATAAACCAACACCATTAAACCGAGTGCCAACACCATTAAACCATGCGCCAAATTTAGTAATCTTCTTTTGTGTATCGAAAGACCGAGGTTTCACTGGTTTATTTAGGGAATTGGAAATTTGATACTATAATGTTCGATTACATCACTCAGTATATGATTTGATCCGAGATATTTCTCATTAATGAAACCATACTAAGGCTATAAAGTCTCAAACAAACCAACACCATTAAACCATGCGCCAAATTTAGTAATCTTCTTTTGTGTATCGAAAGACCGAGGTTTCCCGGGTTTATCTAGGAAAATGGAAATTTAATACTGGTAAGATGCTCGATAATATCACTATTTAGTCTCATTTGATTCGATATATATTTCATTAATGAAACAATGCAAAGGCATTCTAGTCTCAAACGAACCGTCACAATTAAACCGAGTGCCAACCCATTAAACCATGCCCCAAATTTAGTAATCTTCTTGTGTGTGTCGAAAGACCGAGGTTTCACTGTTTTATTTAGGGAATTGGAAATTTGATACTATAATGTTCGATTACATCACTCAGTATACGATTTGATCCGAGATATTTCTCATTAATGAAACCATACTAAGGCTATAAAGTCTCAAACAAACCAACACCATTAAACCGAGTGCCAACACCATTAAACCATGCGCCAAATTTAGTAATCTTCTTTTGTGTATCGAAAAACCGAGGTTTCCCGGGTTTATCTAGGAAAATGGAAATTTAATACTGGTAAGATGCTCGATAATATCACTTAGTCTCATTTGATTCGATATTTCATTAATGAAACAATGCAAAGGCATTCTAGTCTCAAACGAACCGTCACCATTAAACCGAGTGCCAACCCATTAAACCATGCCCCAAATTTAGTAATCTTCTTTTGTGTGTCGAAAGACCGAGGTTTCCCGGGTATATTTAGGAAAATGAAATTTGTAATACTATAATGTTCGATTACATAACTCAGTATATGATTTGATCCGAGATATATCTCATTAATGAAACCATACCACGGCTATAAAGTCACAAACAAACCAACACCATTAAACCGAGTGCCAACACCATTAAACCATGCGCCAAATTTAGTAATCTTCTTTTGTGTATCGAAAGACCGAGGTTACCCGGGTTTATCTAGGAAAATGGAATTTAATACTGGTAAGATGATCGATAATATCACTTAGTCTCAGCGCTCAAAATACACGGGGGCGTAGGGCGATTCGCCCCCATGAGCTGCATAAGTCAGGTTGCTCACGGGGGCGATTGCAAAATTCAAAATCGCCCCCGTGGAATTATAAAATAAAGATTATCTTTTCTGTTATAACTTTAACACAATATTGAGTTTCAATTTACAAACCTTAAACCAATGAAATGGGACTTAGATTAGCGTGCAAGATTTCTCGTTCTATGAGTAGGCCTATTATTACCGATTCAGCTCGCAGTGCAGTGCCGCCGTCAGCAGTGGTTATAGGTCTACTAGCTGTGCCGTTAGTAACGGTACGTGTGGACGCTGCCGCGCCATGTCTGCTGGAGCTATGGAGGCGATCGCGCAAGGGCAGAAACCCCGCCCC